TCTGAGCAGAACAAGTTGGGTAATGGTACACTAAGCTGCTAATTAAACTGTTAATGATTTTTTTTTGTGCCACTGTGGTATTTTGCGACCTCTGTTGAAATTTTCAAAAAATAACTATCTGGAATTTTAAAAAATGCCCAATTTCTCCCTTGCTCAATACCACTGAGGCCTCCAAGTACGTGCTGCATATACAACAACCTCTTCAAAACCACCCAGGCTTGGAGATTTATGGGGAGCTGGTTTGCTGACCAGCTCTTTCTCTCTGTACTTCTCCAGAACTGTCCTTCCTTTTCACCCTGCCATCCTCCCAGCTCCTGTGCCCTGCTGGCTGCAGCAAGAGCCACTGTGGGAGGCAATAAACTGGCATATGTCACGACATGCTGGTGCCTGGGAGGACGCTGGAGCTGCGTTTCCAACAAACAACAGCACCAGTACAATTTTATTTTGGTTGTGATAACTGCGGTGAAATTGATGGCAGCGTTAGGAGTTTATTGTTTCATTATGCCAGATTAGCTGAGGGAGGTAATTACAGGCCTGACATGAAAGTGCCTTTAATGTTTTCATTTCAATTTTGCAGTTTCTAATATGCAGATTACAGCATTATCATAATTCCATATTGTCACACGTACAATTACATGGCAGAACGTTTGCTTCCCAGGATAATGGAGCTAATTTCTAATAAATGATTTCACCAAGGATCTTAACTCATTCAGCTCTTGGGTAAATAGTGGTGGCAATAACAATATGCACATTTTTCAAGTGATTCATGCAGATGTACATTACTTAATGCCAGGCAGTTCTGTGACAAATGAAATACAATCAATTTTATACTAATATTTGCAGCAGTAATTTTGTGCTTTAAGATTTGCCCAGACAACATCCAATCTGTAACAACATAAAGGCAGCTAAAATGAACTAGATTGTTTATATCCACATTTATTTTTGCACACAGATATATATATTTATACAGCCCAGATGGCTCCAGACACCAAAAAATACTTACATTATCTTTTTTAACAGTGTCCAAATTTAATGCTCTCTTAACCCTGCAAGAGAAAAACACGGACAGGTTTTATGGTCATGTAGACACAAAGATTTCTGTTAGTAAGGTCTGTAACTGATAATGCTAAAGACAGTTTCCTTTCTTGGTTTCACATTTACTGATGGCATCCAAAGCAAATCCATTCCCTGAGCGTTGCTTGTTTAGAAGGATAAAGTGTTTGCCTAAGAAAATCTGATTCTCCATTTTATACCAGAGATAAAATCCAGGCACTGAAGTGAAATCATGCTGAGTATTTCTCTTTTCTCCAAGGCTATAAACAACAACCCCCCCCAAGCATTTCCATTTCCATACCTTCTGAGCAAGGCTTGGGATTATTTTGCCATTAGTCGAAATAATGTTGAAGACATTTAAGACACAGGTACAGGCAAGGTGAAAAAAGTAGTTTTTCCCATCATTTTAGCTCTTAACATGATTCAGTGCTACCAGCCCATGCCTTAGCTGGGGAACAGATGCTCTATGTCTTTACAGGTCCCCAAACCATAAGAAACTGTTTGCTTCCCTTCTTCCCTCTCCTGATTCAGGAACATGCCAAGCTCTCTCTGCAAAATCTGCTCCTCTGAACTGGATGCCCAGCTGTTAATGGCAACACTGGAAGAGGAAAGCTGAATATTTATAATACTTTATATGGTACAGCTGTCTGCTAAAGAGCAGTCATCAAAATTTTATTGAATGCAGGCGAAATGCTCCAAGGAAAGAAAGGTCAACATAAATTAAGACTATTTTTCCCAGAGACAACTGAAACTTTTTAAGCACGTTCCTAAATCTTAACAATAGTTTAAAGCATGATGTAAAACGATGAGAAAAAAAAAATCTTTGTAAGAACAGTCCCCAAGAAACATATCTATTATACTGAATTAAACAGGGTTTGGAATATACATCATATTTCAAGAACTTAGTTCAGTTTTCATCTTGGAAAAAGAATGTTTTGCCTTGTAAGGAATTTAGATGACCTCATTCCAAACATATCCTTTTCAAATTTATGCTGCTGTTCTAAGACTGTAAATTAAAGAATTGGGAAAATAATATGGAAACACATCTTTGATATGTAACTCAGGCAAAGATCTTTTATGAAAACTGTTTTACAGCTATTTCTATTTAAAAAGGGGAAAAGAAATATCCTGTCTGAAAAAAGCCAAGTAAACAGGTAACATTTAAATTAAAAAGGCCTCTGAAATCCTGGCCAAAGGGCAGCCAAAGCTGCCACAGTTTGATGGAATTCTTTACAGTGTATTTCTTTTTTAAAGAGAACCCCATATAGCTGAAGGAATCCCGACCCCATTACAGCTCCCAGCTCATGGCAGCAGAGAAATATTCCATTTATTAATGCATCCACACTGCAAGGATGCTCTGGGGGCCAATGCATTTGCATGTTACACTAAGGCACGTTCTGATGGGAGTTTTTATGGCAGGTGTCAGAAGGAGCTGAAAGCCAAAGGAAATCAGGAGCAGGATCACAGCTGTAGGATGAAATAAATGAGAAACTGCATGAAAACCCCACTAAGTTATAAACACTGAGGGCATTTCTTAGGGGGAAAGCTGTGCCCTGATGAGAGCCACGCTCTTTGAAGCCTGTCAGATATTGTGTAGAGCAGCAGAGCAGCACACAGCCCAGATTTCCCTCTGCAAGCACCCTGGACTGGGGGCAGAGGTGGAGCCTCATTCCAAGCCCTTCAGTGTTGGAAAAACCTGGAATGTTGTGGTGGAAAACAGAATTTTAGCTTTAGGAGGTCACCCTTGCCTTGTGCCACCCAACAGCCTGGCTTGCTTGGGGCTAGTTTTTACTGATTGTCTTTTCAATGCCATCAAGGGGAGAAGTTAATCAAAATAATTTAAAAATTGTGCTCCAACTCTACACAGAGACCCCTGAAACCAAATTCATCCCAACTCCTCACATGAAAACGCTGTTGGCTGAACTGCCCTCTCTCTGATCTTCCAGAACAAGAATGTGGGGGAAAAAACAATACATGCAAACAAAATTCCTCAAGTATTTTAGGAAACAACATGAAGAGAACCACTCTTAGGTTTGTTTATTTTTTTTTTATAGCTCACTTTGACTGCGGTGTAGAACCAAATGTCAGAGTGGAACAAGAAAGGGAGACAAAGAGATGAGGAACTTGTGGTGAGAGTATTCAACCTGAGTTTGCTACCCCTGAATTAGCCAGACAAGGCTGAATTTATTTTCTTAACCATGCAGAGTATGATGGCACATTTACAGCCAGCTGTACAACTTGCAGTGATTATTTGGTGCCTAATATTTATCAGGTTAAAGAACTTTCTTTATTGATCTCCAGAAGCCCATGATGAGCACAGATACACAAGAGCAGCACCAGACTTACATGACTTGATTAATTACTTACTGCTTGATAAATTGCAAAATATAGGAGAAAAATGAGCAGGATTTATTCCCTTTGGAGACAAAATGAAGAGATACAGCCTGATGGAAAATGGGCGTGGGGGTGTCATGCCCTGATCTCCACAGGCCTGCAATTCCTTCCCTCCTCTCTGCACCTGAGTGTGTGTGAATCTATAATTTAGTCACTGCTGTAATTGTAGTAAATCCTGTTGAATCACTTTATCAATATTAAATCAGTCAGTGATTAAGTGCTGCTAAACTCTTTTGCACCTGTATCTTTTGTATCCTTGTCCCTGTGACCCTTTTGCATCCCTGGTCTCTGTGTAAATCATTCTAAATTGATCCTAATCCCATTTTCCTGTGTATGCTCCACCTGTGTAGTGATCAACAGAGTGGACCTTGTCATCAAAGTCTGTTGAAGCCACACTTTCACAAATTCATACCAAAAACCTGTTTTTTTTTTTTTTTTTTTGCCAATCCCTTTAGTGGTGGTCAGAGGATGGACCAGGCTTTGCCCAGAAATGCAACAAGATGCAATGGGCAGAAAATGAGGTTCCACCTGGATGTGAGGAAGAACTCCTTTCCAGTGCAGTGACTGAGCACTGGAGCGGATTGTTCAGAGAAGATGTGGAGTCTCCCTCACTGGAGATATCCCAGACCTGCCTGGATGCCAGCCTGTGCCATGGCAAGGGATCACCCACTGTGGTCCTTCCCAAGCTGAACCATCCTGTGATCCCTCTCCTTGCCCCTCTCCCACACAGCCCCACGGGTGTTAGCCACGCTATGTAGAGATACAGAATTAGAATAACTGGGGCTGGAAGGGATCTCTGGAGCTCATCCAGTCCAAAGCCCTTGCCAGGGCAGGGCCACCCGGAGCAGGTGACACAGGATTTGAACGGGAGACTCCCTGGGCAGCCGCTCCAGAGCTCTGCCACCCCCAGCACACAGCAGCTGTTCTCGATGCTGAGGTGGAACTCGCTGTGTTTTAGTTTACGGCCATCGCTCCTCGTCTTGTCGCTGGGCTCCTGTGAGCAGAGCGGCCCCCGACCCCTCAGAAATGCAGGATCCAGAGAGGATGATCCGGACAGGAGGATCCGGAGACGATCTCCCACAGCGGCAGCCCGGCCCAGCCAGCCCCGCTGCTCCAGGAGCCACCGCCGCCAGCATTTCCCGGTCTGTTTCCATCGGGAAACAAATCCCGCCCCTCGCCAGCCGCTCCTCCCTCCCGGGCCCGCTCTGAGGGCACTTCTCCCCTCACGGAACGCGCTCGGGAGCCGCAGCCCGCCGGGAGAAGCGCTCCCCTCACGGAGCCCGCCGGGAGAAGCGCTCCCCTCACGGAGCCCGCCGGAACCGAGCCGCTGCCGTGAGGGGACGGTGGGAGAGGAGAGAGCACAGCCAGAGGGAAGAGAACAGGGGAGGAGGAAGAAGAAGAGGAGGGAGGGAGAAGAGGAAGGGGCGAGAGAGCGGACGGAGAGGCAGAGCAGCGCGGCCCCGCTCCCCAGACACCTACGACATCCCGGAGCCGTTCCCGCCGCCTCCGCTTCGCAGCTCCCGCCGTGTGCCCGCCAAACGCCGCCGGCTGGAAACGGCGCCGAGGGCGGGCCGGGCCGGGGCGGGGCCGCGGAGCCCGGCAGGGCTGCGGGGCCGAGACCGAGACCGAAGCCGAGCCCGAGCCCGGTGTCCGTGTGGGCTCGCCGGGCCCCGCTGTGCGCGGTAGGAGCCGGGCCGGGGCCGGCGATGTTCGGGCGGCGGGTTCGGGGCGGCCGAGCGCACCTCAGGGATCGCCGAGCGGGGCTGAGGGAGTGAGGGAGGGCTGATTCCCCTCAGGGCTGGGGGAAAGGGATTGTCATTTTAATTTTATTTTTTGGGTGGCAAATTTAGCCCTTGAGCCCCCTGTCCCCTCTAGGGAGGGAGGTGGTGAGATCCATGCGGGAAGTTTGCTCGTTTCAGGGGGATGAGGCGGGAGCCGGGCAGAGCTGCCCTGTGCCAGTGCGGGTTTGTGTGGGTTTGTGTGGGTGAGCCTGGAGGAATTGGTCAGTGCTGCCGCGGAGGGTCTGACCTTGGGCATCAGGAGGAATTTCTTACAGAAAGGGCGATTGGAAGGGGCTGCCCAGGGAGGGCTGGAGTCCCCATCCCTGGAGGTGTCCGAGGCATGGCACGCTGTGCTCTGGGCTGAGAATACTGCACTGGTTTGGCTTGGAAGGGGCCCTAAAACTCCAGTTCCACCCATGGGCAATTCCACTATTCACTACGACTCACATTCCATTGTGAATAATTCCACAACCATCCCAGGTTGCTGAAACACCCATCCAACCTGGCCTTGGAGACTTCCAGGGATTCAGGGGCAGCTTCCAGGGCCTCCCCACCCTCACAGGGAGGAATTTGTTCCCAATGTCTAATCTAAACCTTACTCTCTGCCTGGGCTGGATTGCTCCCCTCTGTCTATTTTTCTGAGGTGTCATTTATCCAGTAGAAATGCCCCAGCCTGAGCCGTGGGGCTGCTGGCAGTGCTGTCACTAAGCATTGCTCGCTGGATTTCCCAGCGATGGATTGGCAGCACTTCCCAACCCACATAAGAAATGCCTCAGTAATGGGAAGTCCGAGCACTGCAAACAGGAGTTCACATCTTCTAAACTGGTTGCTGGAAAATTAACATTTCTTCTTCCTCTCCTCCTTGTCTTTCCCCCCAGTTTCATTCCACGTGTGTAACACTGGTGCTTCATTATAGTGACACCTGTTTGCAGGGGCCAGGCTGTGCCAGGGGGTCCCTGTGGGCTCCTTCTGGTGCCTGTGTAATATTAAAGTGTCAGGGAGTTACAAATTGGGTACTCCATCCTTGATAAGCAATTATTATCTGCCTTCCCCAAGTGTAAAAGATCTGTATAACTCAACAAGGTGCCAGTGATTGAGGCCTCCTGAGTAAAAACCCAATGAGTCCTGAAGGGGACCCTGGGATGGTGTTGTCTTGTTGCTGAACTTGAGATATTCCATTTATTGTGCTGGAATATATTTCCTGAAGTCAACAGTGGGTAAAATAATACAAGAAACTGTTAAAGCAACAGCACAACAGGATTTAGTGTCCCTGTGTGATGGCCTTCTAAAAACCTTAATCATCCCTGGTGGAAGCAGAAAGCTGCTGTCAGAGTTTGCTGACCATTGCTGAGCAAACAGCAATGAGTTGTTTTAATAATTGAGAAAAAAATATGGTTTTGTTTTTTTTCCCTTCAATTATAACTGTATGAGCCTTGGATTTAAAAGGCCTGTGTTGCTCAAAGTTTTATGCACATTTATTTCTATTATTTATATTTAAATTATATATATTTATATAATATATATTATTTCCTCTTATTTATATATATTTATATTTATATTCTAAGAAATATAATTCTGGATTCCCATTTTGACCAATTTTATTATTATTATTATTAATATGTTTTGTTGAGTTATAGGAGTAAAAAGAGCAAACATGGATGGCAAAGCCTTGTTTCACAGATAACATGAAAATGTGTTTTTGTGCTTTCAAAAATCAAGACTGCATAATATTTATATAATACTTGCAATATCAAATGCCTGCAACTATATAAAATAAAGTGAAATAAAACTTTTTACTGCCAATGAAGGATAAACTGTGAATAATAAGTAAAGCTGAAACTCTTTCTGCTTGTGGCTCTCATGGTGCTTGCCTACAAGTGTAGATCATAATTCCCATCCCAGATTTAGAGAAAAGAAAGGCTATGACCTGGATGTTTGGGTGACTGGGGCTAGTCAGTGTTTCAGAGGACAAACAAATTGTTAAGACAATTACAAATTCTAACTGGAATCTCATCCCTCACAGGATGGCCAGCACTCCTGGGAATCAGAAAGCCACACACTCAGAAAGTTCCCAAGGGAAGAAGTCCCAGCATGCAGAAGAAGCCATTTTTTACATGAACTGCAGAGCAGCTTATCTGACTGTCTTAAAAAGCAGCTTAGAAAATATTAAATCAAAAGAACAACTCATTTTAGGTAACAATTGGATCTTTTTCCCTCTAACTCTTCCGTGGGATGATTGCAGTGGGGGTATCCCTGTGCATAAACTCAGCAACTGGTTTAAGGGATTGAGAGCAGTTTTGGATGCCTGCTGGAAGTGGGAATGCCAGACAGAGACATTTTATTGTAGATTGTTTTATTACAGATTTTATTTCTAAATCACCAGTAGGAAAGGTGACTTAGATTTAGAAAGGTGATTCAGTTTAGAGTGGGCCTCTGTCCTGGCACAGAAACCCACCATAACTGGTGTTCCATAAGAATTCTTACTCCTTATCTCAACTCCTGAATTACTGAATTCCTTTTATGTGCTGGAATCTAAAATTCTCATTTTTTTGTCCAGACTATATCTGTGTATAAGTGGTGGTGGTGTCAGCAGTACACCACAAACCACAAATCTGCTTCAGCTGCACTAAATAAGGCTGTTGGTAGAAACTGAAAGCTGTGGGGCTTTGGTTTGAAAACTTCAGGAATTTCAAAGGGAAGTGAGAAAAATTTACCTGAAAAATGGAAGTTGATTTCTTAACAATGTAACTTAGTGACCAGGTAAGATAAGGAAAGAGTAAGGTAAGACTGAGTAATAAACAACCTCAGTTTTGAAGGAGGTTTCACTACTGCAGATAAAATTCCTCAAGCAAATACAATTCCAACTTTGCAGTTTCTTGGAGTTGTGGGATCGTGTGCTCTCTTTGGGTGATGACTTTTTTTCCTTAGAGCATTTTTGTTCTTTTTTAAAAGGTTTTTCATGGAAACCACCACTGTAAAAGCTGAGTGCACTGATTGTAGCTTCTTTCCCTACAGCAGAACATGAAATTCCACCCATTACCAAGCATATTCCTACAGCTTGTGACTTGGTGCTCTCCAGGCTTTCCCAGCTGCAATAAAAGGGCCTTTATGGCATCCCAAGGATAGTTTGGGATAATCTGGATTTTAACAGAGGGGTGGTGTGAGCAAATGTCATCTCTCTAATAAATGCTTTGGCTTTCAGCTCTGTCCATATGCCACTTGGCTACACAGCAAGTGTTTGGGCTTTTTGCTTTCAAGGTCAACTTGGAAAGGGCAGTTAATTGTTTAGACTCTCAATCCTTCCAGAGACATTTAATAATTTATTTTAGAATTTGTAAGCATTGAGAGTTAAAGACTTATATTTCATCTTAAGTCAATTTTGGCATTTCTCAAATGAGTGGTGCCAATGTTTAAGCCCCTCTTGCTTCATAAATTTTGTCTGATATTCCAAACTAAAGTGAGAGATTGGCCCTGGGAAATTTTATTTGTAGGAGTTTTGCTTATCCCCAAAGAGTAGCTTCATTTCCTGTCTGGAGTGATTTAGCAGAACCAGATCATAAAGAAATATAAATAAAAGGTGCAGTCTGACTGAGCTTACACAAATACAAATTGGGAGGCATGTACGGAATGGTGAGTGCTGATGTCCCTGGAGATATAAAATTAAAGATTGTGTATTTGAAGGGTATCTGTCAAATATAATCATGAGCTGCCCTGACATTCCAGGGAGCTCTCCCATCCATGGGAGCACACCCCCAGAGTCCCTGCCCTTCCTTCCCTGGCTGCCCTGGCCACTGAAATCCCCAAGGCATTGCTCCGTGCCCAGGCGTGGCTGGGACAAAGATGTGAGCCCTGCTCTGCTCTGGCTCTTCCAGCAGAGGTGGCAGGCCACAAGTCTTTATTTAGTGCTTGGCATGAAGCAGGGGTTAACAGCAGAGGTGCCTGGTTTATGTGTTTGTTTGTTTGTTTGCTTGGTTTGTTGGTGACAGGGGTCCCACTGAGCATTGTCACCATGCCACCGCCTCATTTCACAGATGCTCTTCAGCAGTTCCCAGCACAGGCTTGGGCACTGCTCAGCTGGCTCAAAACCAAGTGCCAGCCCAGGTGGAGATGGAGGATCTCCTGTGCTTCCCTTAAAGATGATTTGGGAAGATACAAAAGCATCCCTCTCATTTCAGATAGACTGTGCATTTGAATTTAATTTCCATTTAATGTAATGCACTGAAAACTGAAAGGTTGTTTTCAGTAAACACCTTGAAGAGGCAAATGGATCCAGCAAATTCATTTTGGAGGATGCCAGGTGTAACACCCATGGCACTGGTTGCCTGTGTGGCATTGGCTGCCTGGTGGTATCATTTTTCCCTTAAAATTCATGCATAATTTGAATTGATACATTCAAATGTACAGGCATGACTTAAAATATTGTCTCAGATAAATTCTACTCCAGATTTCAGGTCTTGGTGAAGGCAGCGCAAAAATGATGTTGGTCTTAGTAGAAATAGGATCTAATAATGTACAGACTTAAAAATAATATATTCTTGATGCTAAGACACTGCATATAGGCTGAATTTTACACTTGAGACTGTCTTTGAGTTCATGTATATTTTGATTAAGATCATAACCAAAACTGTTCTTCAGATTCACTTTTCTCTTGAAGTGATTTGGCTTAAAAAAAATCTGAATGTGAAAAGTGACTCAAGGATGTTTGGAGAAAACTCCTTTTCTAACACTGGAATATGTATGTAATATTGTGTTTTATTACTCAGTGCTTCAGCGGGCTGGAAGAAATCCTTCTCAGAAGACCATTAACAAATACTGGACTTCACAAACATCTTCACTGAATTTTGATGACTTTTGTGCTATTTTAAAAAAAGAAAAGCCAGCTACAAAAAACGAACTGCTCGAAGCATTTGGTAAAATAGACACAGCTAAGGCTGGATATATTTCACATGATGAACTTTGTAAAATTCTTACAACAGTAAGTATCTAATTATCCATCCTTAATTGGTAGAGATTTTGGAAATTAGATGGGGAGCTGGGATTCCCCATTTTATGGAAGATTTTCATGGTGGGTTTCTAGAAGACACCACAAAATTACATAAACTGATACAGTTGATCTCTTTGATATTTAATAGCATTGTAAAGACAAAGTTTTTTAATGATTTAAACCACTGTTTTCATGATTCAAATCAAAATCTGTTGAAATCTATTGCAAGATAAGATTCTCTGAAAAAGTATAAAAAGTCTTTTCCTTTGTTATGGAATTTGTGCTGTAGGTGAACAGGATTCTTGATTAGGAACCCAAACTGAGCTGCTTTTTCCTTGCAGAGAGGTGATAAAATGACCTGGGAGGAAGTGACCAGCATTACTAAACAAGCTGATTTTAACTGCAATGGCAAACTTGACTACAACAAGGTATGGCCAAGAGTGATATTTGTTCTTTTGTAATTGACAATATGAGCATTAGTGATGCCTTTACCCCAGGATTCTAAATTTTGGACTGAATAAACATCCCACAAAGATTGGTACATAAATGTGGTTTCATAGGAGGAAAGCTGGTATGCTAAAAAATCAGTCTTCCAATATGTACAAAGGAAAAGTTGAAAGTCACACTTAAGTTTTGTTCAATATTTGGATCTCCTTGTTGAATCATAGCTGCATTTACTATGATATTTGAGTGGTTTTCCTGATTAATGAAAATTAAAATTATGTTTGGCTTGCAGAGGAAATGCATTCCATGTGCTGAGCTGTGCTTTCCTTGCTAAGGCTACATTGTACTCCTTAAACCTTTTGAGAAATGTGGCTTGGTAAGTGAACTGTTCTTTTATTCTCTCAGTTCTGTGAGCTGTACCTGAGCACCAGTGAGCAGTGCTGCAAAGCTGCCAGGGACAGGCTGGCAACTGACCCTCGACTGAGGCAGCAGCACTTTGGGAACCAAACTGAAAACGTCCCTGAAGGGATCACCCTGCCAGGGCCAAAGCCATCCCCGAGGGTCTGCAGGAAAACTGAGCACAAACTGCCTAAAGGTATTTCTATTTCTTACATTTTATGTTTTCTTTCTGTTGGAGATGAGGCTCTGGCTCAGTGAGCAGTTGAGTTTTTGTTTAATTTTTCTCAGATTAGTGAAGATTTTAATGATGAATATAATTTCTCCTGTGGCAGTCACATCAGTGTGTCAGTAAAATATATTCAAATGACTGCATCTGTGAAACCCACAAACTCCTAAGGGTGGATTCTGTTGATTTTCATGTGGCACAGTCCAGAGGGAAGAGAGAAAATTAATGCTCAGGTGTTGCAATATAGGCAAATTATTTATTTCCTTCCTACCCCAGAGATGAAACCCTAAACATTTCTCAGTAAGCTGTGTGCTTGTTTCAATAATTGAAGCTGCTTTTCAAGCACAATTAATAAGTTGTGGACAGTTTAATGTTCTTCCTGAAGTTACAAAGATACTTCAAAACCTTCCCAAACTGCAAAAACTCCCCAGGGAATGGACTGCAGAGGCACCAAGTAAGAAATGTTGGGGTGTAGTTTGTGCTGTTCCAAGTTGCTTCAAATCAAAGAGGTGCAGAAATGTCACAACAGTGATGAAGGGAAGTTCTCTGATGGAGTTCTTCTCATCCAGTTTTCTTTGTGCTTCTAAATGCAAGGTTTATGATAAACAGCACTAGGAGAGGGTTGGAATAATGTGGCTGTAATTAAATATCTCTGTTTTTAGGTGACAGCAGAGCTCCTTCAAGACCTTCATCAGCTCAAAGCAGCAAAGCTTCCACCTCCACCACGGTCACTGTGGGTGCCAGCAGCAGCAGGAACACAAAGCTAATTATTGAGCCTGACACAATGAAGGTATCACACTGAAATGATGGTGTTTTCCTCCAGGCACCTGTGTTGGTGCATTTTAAAGAAGCTAAAAATCAGAGAAAAATGGTGTCTTATGTTTTATTTACAGTTTGTCAAGGGCAGCTATAAACTACTGAGAGCTTTCTTGATACGTATTATTATTAACATTTTTATATACTGTTGGTTTTGCTGACAACAAGTTATTGGAAATAATTTTTCAGGTGTGAAGGTTTAATAGAACAAAATGTGGTTTTTATAAATGAAACCACTGTTGGAGAAAACAGTTAATGACTTCTTGAGAAATTTAAAATTGAATAATTTATTAGGTTGGTGAGAACTTTAAATGCTTAAGTAGTCTGAAAGATTGTGTATCATAAACCTTTGCATGAAAGGTAATTGGAAATAAATAACAGATCTGTGAGCATATTCAGTTTCTTGGGCATTGCTTGGTAAATAGGTGCTATAACCTGAAAATATTGATTTTTAGTTAGACTAATATGTTCGATCAGTATTTTCTTTTAAATAAATCACTCATTCAATACAAATTCCTGGGGGAGAGAGACAACAAAGTCACTTTGCTAAGTCAATATTTGTAGAGTGTTAATATTGATCTTTTTCCCTTTGTTTTCCCTTTCTTGACTGAACCTTTACTAGTTTTCTTTCAACAGAAAATAATAGCTGTAGAAATATAAAACATTAACTGGGAACTGCTGGGATACATTAAAAATGTGCACCTGGAGACTCCTGTATAAAAGGGAAAAATGGTTCTGACCACACAGTGGAAGTGCTGCTGGAAAACTGAACTGATTGTCCTCAGGAGCTGCATTTTTGTTTCAAATAACAACTCTGGATTTGTTATTGAGCTCTGAAGTCCTTTAGATCTTCCCCACTGCTGTCCAGTGACATTTGTTCTATATTAAAATTTCCAAACATCGCCTCCCAGGGGTTCTGTGCAGTGTGTTTAGGTAGCTGGACCCCCATGCAATTTAACCTGCAATCTCACCTTGTTCAAACATGATGTGGGGTGTATAAAACAGCACACACTTCCCCAAGATTGGGTTCTTTTTTCTTTCTACAAGCCAGTAAAAACTGACTAAAAAAAAAGATATTGATTAGTATTGCTTGGCATCATCCACAAACTGAAATCAATTAAGAAACATGGAAAGGTTTATTTCCTATTAATTAAATATTTTAAATTAATAACATTAGTTCTATATTAATTATATTAACATATAATATTATATGTAGTCAACATATTATAAATTAAATATTTCCTAGTAATAAACTATTAATTTCTTTAAACTTAATTTTGCACAATGCAAGCTCTGCCAGAATCAATCAGTAAAGTACCTAGGCTTTTATGTGCGGTGTGAATCAGAATCCACCACTCAAAAATTCTTTTTATTTGTCTTATATCCAATAATTTTATTTTATATTTTTGCTGTTCACCTGTCTTTTTGTACAAGTAAGAAAATATGCCCTCAGGAGCAGCAGCAGCTGTACATTTGTGACAGAGGAAAACAGTGAAAGTCAGAACATGGTGAAATGTCTAAAACTAAAAACACTTAGAAAATTCCTCTCAGTCATTGCTTTTTATTAGGAATTGTGCATCAAAGTGTGGATATTTTCAATATTGACTTAAATGTCAGTGGCAGTGACCAGCAGCAGGTAGTGCCTAACATTTCTTTCCAATTAACATTTCTAACACAAACATTTCCCACTTCAGCTACTGTTCAACAACTCCTTTTCTGCTTTGAAGGGACAGAGGAAAATCCACTCAGAACATCCTCTTTTAGTTTCCCAATTTTACGTACGTGTTTGGAATTTGGTAATTTAGGGCTTCTAGCACCCCCTTATGCTCTCTGCCAGAGTAACAGGGTTTGATTTCCCAAAAGGAAAGTTTAAGGATAAGGGTTTTGTCCAGCAGTTTTGGCAGGTATCAGGCTTGGAGCAAACAACCAGTTATTTCAGATGTGTCAAGTTTGAAGAAAACAAATCAATTTTAAAATTTCCTTTTAGGTGAGGTCAGGAGTCATGAAGTGTTGGAATAATCACTTCAGGAACAGCAGTGGAAATGATCCAAGGGGCTGAACTCCATGTTGGAATTCTGCCCCTGATTTATGTTAATCCCAGCTCTCATTATCCACTTTTTGACTGACACAACCCCAGCTGTTGCTCCATATTCAACCCTCACCATTAAATCCCAGGAATAGTTTGTCTCTGATCACTTTTTTCCTAATTATTTTTTATGATTGGTCCCCTTTTTCCTTGTCCTGTCACTACAAATCCTGTTTTATGGATAAAGATGAGTATAAAATTATTGGATGGATTTGTTAATTAGGTTTATTCTGCTCCATAGAAGTTAGCCATGTCCAGAAATAGCTGCACTTAAGGATTATCCCTGGAAACTTCTCCAGCAGGTTGTGGCCACAATGAAAATAATATGGGAAATTATAGGAGGGCAGGGACTTGCACAGCAGTGCCTGCCAGGGATTGGCCATCTCACTTTATTTTTAATTAATCTTTGTCTTCTCCACAGCCAATTTACTTTGAAAGTCTTCTAGAATTTCTTGAGCAAAATCTTAATTAAAAAAAAATTCCAAATCTCGAAAGAACAGCAGAAAGGGAGTTGCAAAGTGTATAATATTTGTATTTAAATTATTCCATGCTGTCAGCTGTTTGCAAATATAATTAGCAGAATCTTCATGGCAATTCCAGTTTAATTTTCAGCTGCAGGAGCATTGGGGTAATCTCTCTGCTTTTCAGGCATTTTCACAAGTGAAGCCATGTTACTTTGCAAAAATTGTTTATAAAAAGGACTATTTGGGATTTTTTTAAAAAATAAAAGTATATTGATGCTGTATCTCATGGTGTGTTTTATGCAGGCTTAATTCAATAATCAAATTAATTAACATTTCAGAGAAAGCACTTTTATCTTCATCCAAAACAGAGCAAACCCCTAATATTTTCTTGGTTTCCAGGAATGGCAATGTGCACAATCCAAGGGCTGCTTCTACCTGGAGGAAAATGGGGAAATCATCAGTCACAAGTACAGGCTGCACTTAGCCCAGAGATCTGCAGTTTGTGTCACCATCAAACCTTTCAGAATTCCCCAGGCACAAGGTGAGTGCATTAATATCTCATTTTCTTCTCCAAGCCACCACCTCTTTTTAAGATTTACCATGGGGCTTCATCCAGTTGCTACATTGGAATTATTTTTTCCCCCAAGTAGAATATTCCCTTTTTAATCCCATAAAACAGGAGCCTTTCAACCCCAAAATTGTTTTAAAATGACCTGGGCTGGATTTTTTTAAACAAATTTGTGTGGTGTGTAACCATTCCTTGATATTCTTGACCCTTAATGATGGAACTATTTTATCAATGATAAAATTAATAATTATCTGTAAGACAAGGTTTGGAACAATTTATCTGCTTGGCCTAAACAGGAAGAAAATGCCAATTGCATAGAGTTTTTTTCCCATTTTTCATCACCAGGGATCAATAAATACCATGGGAATATCTATTTTGAGATGCAAATAAAAACAAATTTGGGTCATTATTATTATTATTATTATTATTATTATTATTATTATTATTATTATTATTATGCATTTTGGGGGATATTTTTCTTTCCAGGAAAATCTTGTCACTGGGTGTCAGTGGATACAGCTTTGTTTATTCTGAAGGAAAATGAAACCCAAGAGAATTTACAGCTTGTGAGCTTTACTGAACTCCAGAACAAAGAGGTTAGAGATTTCTGGTGTATTCCTATTTTAATTGTTAATTTTTAGTGTGTGTGTTAATGCTGGAGGTGTGAATTCCATGGGTTTGGAAGGAATTCCAGCTGTACCAGAATTGCTCAGTTGCTGGCTATATTTACTTACACTTTTATACTTTATACTTTATTTATATTTATAGCTACTCTGTAAAAACTCAGCTGCATTTCTGCACCTTCAAACACAACATTTCCAAGGCAAAATTTGTTTAAATTTCCTTTAATTTTCTTTCTCCTTGCCCTTTGAACTTCATAGTGCACAGAATATTCTTTTCCTGTGGCAGAGATACGAGAGCATCAACTTATTTTCCCCCTCTTCCCTCATGTCTCTCCTTCTGTTTTTCTAACTTTTATTCTAAGAGATTCACTATTTTTTAATCTTTAAAGTGGCATCACACAGCATGAGGAGACAACCCAGCATTCCCAGCGTTTTCAAGTAATGAATTTTCAAGTAATGAATTTTATGTGAATATTACTGGCAACAGGGAAAGGCATCATTTGAGAAGTTCTTCCAAACTTTTCTGTCTTCCTTTAAGAGCAGATGTTTGGCTGGAGAGGGGAGCTTGGATCTGGGCTTTACTGGCTGCTCCCTTTCACAACTGGTTGCAGGCTGAGGAAGAGAAAAACCCAAATCACTGGGGAAGCCAAACTGGTGTGGAGGGATGAAGATGGAGAGCTGGCTCTCACCAATGAATTCCGGTGAGTTTTGTTCCCAAACATGGAAATAAAAATCTCTTTTCCAGCGAAAATGTGGCTTTTAAAATCTGGATTTTCCTGAGGTACTCTTTGTACAGAATAATCTCCAACAGACTGGCCAGTTCTTGGCAATATTATGAGACAGTAAAAGGAAGTGGAGATAGTTTGGCCTTTTTCATCCCTCAGAGCTGCTTTGCTGGATATTTTTGAAACCATTGATCTGGATGGGAATGGCCTCCTGAGTCTGGAGGAGTACAACTTCTTTGAGCTGAGGACTAGTGGGGAGAAGTGTGACCAGGAAGCCTGGGCTGTGTGCAAGGGTAAGTTCATTTCTGTGGTACAGCTAATTAAGGCTATCAATTAACTTCCAATAGACCTGGATATTCTGTACCTATTCCAAGAACACATGTAGATATTTTTCTCTTCCTCCTTTCTTCTTCTTTTTTTTTTCCAGTCTCCTGTCCTTTGCTTTGCTTCATTCTGCTGTGTGTGCCACTGACCTTCTGCTGAGAAAATTCTTCCCCTTCCTAATTGTTTTGTAGCTGCCAAAACCTACAGGGTTTGTAATCCTGGATCATATGGGGAAGGAAACTGTCACAGGTATTTGTTTCATCCATCTCCTTTGTGCAGATTGGGCTGGTGCTGCTTTTTTTATCTCACAAAGTGTGGAGAGGGACATTTAATTAGTGTGGATCTGATGCTACAAATTAGCATCCAGAGTTTTTGTGGGTTGCCAGTGTCTCCTTTTATAATTCCATGTCATGTTTGACATAATTCCTTTGGAGGCTGTGGCACATTGGCCAAAATACTTTAAATCTGGCAATTCTCTTCCCAAAACACTCTGAGGTATCTGATTTTGTCCTAACTCACGGAAAACTCCTACAAGAATACATTTCTAGGACTGAATTTCTCCTCTGTTTGATGCCTGGATGTGCTTTTCCACCCTTGATGCCTTTGCCAGGATGATCCAAGGAGGAGGGGTGGAAATGTGTGAATAAATAAGAGAGGAAGGAGGAGAAGCTGGGGAATGTTTCACCAGGTCATCAATCAGAGGAAGGGTTCACACGAATATCATCAATCTTGACACCAAAGTTCAAGCCATTTATTACAGCATCTGTACCCTTGGATAGATTTATTAAATTGGTAATCCCTTTTTAATAATATATAGTAAAGATTTAGCATTGTTATGAAGATGAGAACACCATTTTTAAAAGTTCCTGACATGAGGACATTTCAATTATGTGTTTGCTGACATTAGAGTGGTGGATCTATGATATTCTCTCTAGAGAGGGGTGTTAGGATTACTGGAATTTTATTGCTTTTTAGGAACTAAGTAAATCATTTCTGTATCAAGGACCTGAAGCATTTCAAGGTGCTGGCTCTAGCTGGCTTTCATTTCCCATTCCTAAAATACCCCATTCTGCAAAGCTCAACCACAAATTTTAGGAAAAAAAAATCCAGATGAGCTCTTTTTGTTTGGAAATCTCCCTTTTTGGGGCTATCCAAGGAGCAAGCTGTTTGTAGGCATTGTCCCAAATCCACAGGGCAGCTCTGCAAACAGCACATGCCTGCTCAAGGACATTCTTTCCCAAATAATCTTGGAGATCCTGAGGCTCTAAGTTGGCTCCATCTTTTCAACCTTGTTAACTAGAGGGGGATTCTGCCTTTGGAAGGATGAAGGTGTTTGCAGGCAGAACAGATTTTTAAGTGCTGTTTTTATTCCTTTGAAACAGAAAATTTTGAGATGAAGAAGAATGAACTAACAAGACAAGGATTCCTGGATTTGAATCTCATGGAAGCCAACGACCGGGATGGGGATCCCTGGGACCTTTGGGTCACTTTGTTGTCCCTGGGCTACAACAAAGCCTTAGAAATGACAGAGGTAGGAGAGGCACAAAAGAGCAAAAACCCCTGCACCTTTAACTGCTGCAATCTTTGTGCCTGCCACAAAGTGATTGCAGGAGGGCAGGACCCACTGCCACCATCCAGGGCTGCCACTGCCACTGTCCTGATTCTGGGAATGGCATTTGGATCTTTGAAAAGAGAAAATTTCCTTTGCTTTGGAGAAAGCCAGGATGTTATGGGGTTGTAGAGGAAGGGGTTTTGGATTGCATCTGTTAAAATAATCCATGCACTCTGTTGGTGGGGATGATAGGAAGGTAAGGGTGGTAAACTGTGACCTGTCAGCAAATTTAGAAAAAACAGGACTTTTTTTTCTTTAAAAAGTCAAATTTGTGGCCCAAACCACAATGGAAGTGGATAAAGGTAATTTTTTTTTCATGTGATTCAGAATTTCTAGTTTCCAGACATAACTATTCCTGTTATTGTTGCCTTTCACAACAGTGTCTGAAGAGGTTCAACATAAAATTTTAATGCTTCACTAAAATTTTAGGGTTTGGGTCACACATTGTTTACTTTGCAGGACCAGAGATTATTTCTCTGATGTTTCTGTGCACTTACAGATTTAAAAAATTATTTAATTTTTTTTATATTCTGAAATACATATTGCATATTTCTGATGTCAATAATTCTTTTTAAAGAAAGAGGATCTCTTTTAAGAAGAGAAAAAGTTATGAAAAATTAAGGAATTAAGTGTACAGATAATTAAATATTTTAATTCCCAGGAAAGGCAGATTTTTGGGATCAGTCTGACAATATTATTTAATTTTGTTAAACAGGTCAATATATTCATATCAAGACCTAAAAATAGTCAGTATGAGAGATATCAGTTGTCTCTCAGTGAAAATTTTGCGATGGTGCTGAGGAATTTAAAGATGAGCTCCTTTTCCTCTGACTTGTGGTTGGCAGAGCACGTGCAAGGCTGTTTTTCTGCATTTCAGCCACAAGAGAGAGCCCTCCTCCAAAAAAGAGCATTTTGGGGAGGTTCTTCTCCAGTCAGGAATTTCAGGAAGGTGTTTTGTGCCTTGTCCCAGCTGTGGTTTCTGGCTGCAGCCTTTGCTTTCCAGAGGACAGCACAGCTCTCAAATGTAATTAGTAATTTAGTAATTCATCTAAAAATCTCCAGCTGTTAACTCGTGTCTCTCACTTGAGTCTTTAATTCCTTCATTTCAAATAATTTCAGATTGATGTTTTGGGAGCACTGAGAGAGAACTTGGGAAATCCTGGTGGATTCCTGCAGCCTTTGGAAGGGAATTGAGGTGCTGGGCCTGAGTCTAAGCAAATACAAACCCCTGGTTGTTCCACCAGGAGTAAAATGCAGCCAAGATACTGCCAGAGTGCTCAGTGCTGCATTGCAGAGGTGTTAAATCTCTGTGGGGTGGCACAACCAGCAACAGTGGGACAGGTTTATTTCAGACACTGAAATACATTCAGGTTTCATCTTAATTCCTGGACATTTTGCTGTCCAAGGAGGGGTTTGCTGTGTTGAACTATGTCAGGTGTACTGGGAAGGGCATGAAAAAGACCACTTGTCTTGGGATTTCATTTAGTGTAAAAGATTGCCACAGCTCACAGTTTATAATATTTATATTCAGGCAAATATTTATACCTGGGTCATTCTAGTTCAAATATGAAAATACTTAGGAGCTGTGGGTGAAAATCTGAGGGGAAAAACTACAGCTGGAGTGATGCTAAAACTCATCTTCTCCACTGCAGGCCTGCCCCTTTGTCATTGACATCTGTGCAGAGAGGTGCAAACCCAGACTCAGAGCCATTTCCCTGGAGGCAGGGGGCTCCCAGCTCAGCAGGGCTCTCTGCAGGTCTGTGGTCAGCAAGGGAGAGGCCAAAGTGCTGGATGGCTCTGGGGACATCTGCATCCACACCCACAGATCAGGCAGCAGGATCACCTCTGTGATTGAAAATAAGGTATGGCCTGGAGCTTCCATACTGCACTTTGTGTTCAAGTCTTATTGTTCCTCCTCCTTCCTCGGGTCATACTTGAGAATTGCTGTTCCTGAAATCAGGTTTTGGTGTCTGTTTTGTTAAAAAAAACTCTGCCTGAGGTGTTCATTGTGGCTTCAGAAGAGCCTGGGTCAGTGCTCTGGGAAGGGTCAGATTGTTATAATGAGGCAAGCACTTCTAATTACCATATAAAAGGAATACTTTTTGTGTTCACACCCCAATTTTTCAATATTTTGACATATTAGCATCATCATATGAGGAAACAAACACTAACAGCAGGAAATGCAATCAGAGCAAGAGCAAAGATCACAGCATTTACACTGCTGAATATTTTCAGTGTCCATAAAGTCAAAGAGCAGTAATTTTTAGGAGTGTTATGGATGAGTTTTTACCTGATTATTCTGCCATGTGTGCTTTATTATGAATTCAAGCTGAAAGTTGTAAATCCAAGTAGAAGTGGTTGGTGAGATTTTAAACCTTTTTCCATAGATCACAGTGATTGTTCTCAGTTTTCTTTATACTGTGAGTAATAAACACAGCATAGTAAGATGTTAAACTTCAGATGCTTTAAACCTTCAAAGATCACAGCAAGAAGTATATTTTTAAATGTCCAGACATTCAAAAGGGGGTGGCTTGGTGGGGCTAATATTAGGACTGGATGCTGAGGCTCCTGGAACTCTGGATTTGGCTTTGCACTTCGCCCTTTAGGGTGGATATTCCAGAGTTATTTTTGTGTTTGGGGATATGTCAGAGAAGGAGATCAGGGCTGCACTGAGACAACTGGATGTTCTCTGCCCCAGATCTCTGCCCACTCTGTTTATACCACTTGGGTTTGGTTTTCAGGTCTCACCAAGCTGGGTGGGAATGCTGGGGAAGCTCCACGGGGGGATCTGGACAGGCTGGGAAGATACAGCAAGGTCAGGTTGTAACTTCACAAGTCCTTGTGTTGTTTCAATGAATCTTTAATTACTTTGGACCATGAGTGTGGCACTAAGGTGCATTTGAAACTGTTACTTACAAAGAGTGTCTGTTACTCTTCAGAGTATCCATTAAGCATTTCTATCCCTAAAACAGCAAGGTCACAGGAAGTCCAAGGACTGTGCACTTGTTACACAAAGAACAGACACTTAACCAGGAAAGTCTGATGGTTCCTTCATGTTTTTTCACCTGCAGTCTGAAAATAAAGTGATAATTCATGTCAACAATGAGCAGAGTAAGAACTGCCTGAACAATAGGGGACTGACAGTTTTTGCTGTGGAAGTGGCTCCAAAATCCATGATGGTAAGGTTTTTTTATTGCTTAGCCAACTTTAGAGAAAGTAAAACTCTAAAGAGAAACTTTAGGTGGTATCTTTATATTTTCTTTATGTAGGGTTTTTATCATGATAATGAGCATGTGGACAGTGGCCTCTTCTGTCCAGAACAGATCAGATGCACTTTTTGATATTTCAAAGCTGATCATGTACTGAATGTATCCCTGTTTTCCTGTGCAATTTCCTATAAAAGTCAATAATCCACTTTTTCATACGTGGGCCTGTTTCACTTGTCTATTCTATACATGCACCATTCACTGATATTTTTAATACTCTTTTTCTAAGGCTGTATTTTTTTCTCACTTAACAATTTTTAATCCCACGTGTTGATGCCTGTGAGAATAGACCAAGCATGCACTAATCAGAAAGAGAAATAAATGTATTGCAGTCCTTGTGCACACTGTGATTTGCTGGTGGTTAACTGTTGTTAAACTTGATTTAGGGATCATGTTAACCATGAGATCATGTCCTGCTGCAGAGCTGGGCAGGCTTTAGTGACAATTCCAAATGAGGGTCCTGAGGGATGGAATGTGATGCTTTACAAATGCAAATGATGTTTTTCTTCATTTATTTATGAATAACCCCCTGGTTTTCTTTTTCTGAAGGTACACTTTCTTTGTTTAAAAGCAAAGGCATCCAAGCTCTTTTATATTTCCCAGCTTTCCAGGGTGGATTCATTCCTGTTGTGAGCAGAGCAGTCCCATGACACAGGCAGGGCTGGGACCTATTTAAATTGCTGCTGACATTTTGAATATCCACTGCCTCATCCTGTAAGGTGGTTTTAAATTTTAATTCAGGCTTCATTCAGGATAAACTGTAGGCTCAATCCTTATGGATATTTTTCTGTTAAATTCAAGAGTAATTTTTTAATATCTGTCGATGCAGATGATGAATATCCATCATTTAGTGACACAAGTACTGAACATTTTGCTTCCACAGCACACTGGGTAACAGTTTCCCAGTAAAGAGAATTCTCTTTCACCTCTGCTTTCTCTTGTGCCAGGTCTGTCAGCACGTGATGGCCCTGAATGAGCAGGAAGAGTGGATTTACAGCTGTGTGCACTCCCTTGTGTGTTAAACCTCCCAGTGCCAGGGCTGGGAGCAGCCACACTCAACCAGGATTAGCTTTGAGCAGCTTTTACACAATTTATAGTCTTGTCCTTCTCAAAAAGCTGGCATACATTTATATTTTTTGATGATTTTGGCATGAAAACACTGAGGCACAATAAAAATTAGTGCTGTTCAGTAGTCCAGCTGCCAGTTGTAACAGAACGGTGCTTTTTAAAGGATTGTTTCCCTAAATATGCCCTTATTTTCCATGCCATGGATTGTAATTCCATCACAGGCTGGAACTGCTTCACTGAGGGGAAAAAAAACTTTGTTGAATGGGTTCCTAATTAAACATTCCTGTGGTTTTGATGTGAGAAGTATAAAGGGATGAGGCTCTTTGTATTTTGTCACTGGATAAAGGGTTTGTTTCTTTCCCCTTTTTTTGGTCATTTGCTGATAATCCTTATCTTACCCTTGTTCTGTAATTTCTGCCTGGTTTTATACTCTTTATATAAAATAAAGTCTGCCTTTCCATATGCAATAAGGAAATAACATCATTTGAGAAAAACGAAGGTTTGTCTTGGGCTCTTGACTGTTAACAGCAATTAATTATTCCCAGGGCAGCTGAAATAAGAAGACTGAAGTGCACCAAGTTTAGGCTGCAACAGCAAAGAAAGCCATCTTTGAGGTACTAAAAACATTCAGCTTATTATATTTTCCTGGTTCCTCTAAATATCTATTAATGTGGAAAAAAAAGATGACCCTGGCCTCTGGCTGCTTAAATGTGTTTGAGTTTAAAATAGCCATTAAAAGTGTGTGACCTCATGTGTGAGGGCAGCAAGTTGTGTTGCAAAGTTATTTTTATCTGCCCCAAGTCCTGCTCTCCGCTGTTCCTCTGCTGTAATCTTACACTGGGCAAGTAAATGTCAGTGACAAAATGAGAGCTGGGCTCTGATTTACACACCCAGGCAGGATTCCTGGTGAGCTTTGAGTTTTCCATGGTTTTCCCTTAGCAAGTGCCACAGGTATCATTTCCATTTTCAAAACTGTCTGAAAAGAAGTTGAGGCCCCAAAAATACTTGGTGATTTTTAGCTCTGACTGAGCTCTGCAAATGCTGCCTCAGGCAAAATGTGGGTAAGGCAGAAATTCCCAGCTCCTTGTCTAAAAAGGAGCTGGGAAATGATGAGACACTGTGTGGAACAGACACTGCAAAGTGAGCAGTCCATTATTTACATTTCTTTTGTTTGTAAAATCAGCCTTTTTAGATGTGGCAGGAATTCATATGCAACTCTCTCTGCATTTTAGGAAAGGAATGGTTAAAGCTGAAAGAAGGGCTTAGCTGAGAAGTCACTGCACGTGGAAAGAGTTGGGTTTGCTGCAGGTAAAAAACATGGCACAGCTCTACACAGGGAACCTCATTTATTTTCTGATCCTCCTGCTGCCAGGAAGGGTTTCATTATCCAATTTTTTAAGAGGGCATAGGCAAAGTCTCCGTGGCAGTTTCTACCTTTCCTGCCCTGGAGGGGATGAGATTAGAGATCTTGGTTGTATCTGCAGAGTCTTTTTCAGTTTGTTCCAAACCCAGGTAACACCAAGACAGAAAAAAAGTCCAGCTTCTCTTTTTAATGTTGAACACAGGTACCAACTTATTTTCTTTGAGGGGAGAAAAAAAAATCTCTGTATGGGGTAATTTCAACTTCTGGAATGTTATCTTTTTTTGACAACTGGAGCTATAACAAAATTCAGCTTCTTCAAGGCTTTGCTAAAGCTGACCTTCCCTGCCTCTGCATCTGGAGCTCTGGGGGGCTCCTGCTTCTGTGGGGTGCTCACTTGAGCCAGGGCCTGAATGTAAGGCCAGTGGGGACATCCTGCTGCTGGCCACAGGGACAGGCAGGGTCTGGAGCACCTGGGACAGCTGGGGGGTCACCTGGAGAAAAGGAGCCTCAGGGGGTCGTACACAACTCCTGACAGGAGGGGACAGCTGGGGGGTCACCTGGAGAAAAGGAGCCTCAGGGGATTGTACACAACTTCTGACAGGAGGGGACAGCCGGCGGGTCAGGCTCTGCTCCCAGGGAACAGGGACAGGAGGAGGAAAAGGAGCCAGGGAAGGTTTAGATTGGATCTCAGGGAAAAGTTCCTGATGGAAAGTGTCTGATCCTGGCACAGCTGCCCAGGGCAGTGGTGGAGTCCCCATCCCTGCATGGATTTAAAACTCATGTGGATTTGGTACTTGAGGACACGGCTTAAGTGGTGGCACTGCTGGGGAAACGGCTGGACTTGCAAAATCTCAAATCTCTTTCCTAAACCATTCCATGATTCCATGACGCGGGCTCGGATAGAGCGGGGCAGCGGGGCGCGGAGGTGCCGGGGCTGTGACGGGCCGGGCCGGGCCAGCGCAGGGTGGCCTTGGAGTTGGAATAAGCAGCATTCCTGTACACACAGGCAGGATCCCTGTGGACCACTGTGAATAAGCAGAGTGGGGAACTTGTTCCCTGGGATGAAGTGTGAGTTTGTGCAGCTTTTTGGATGTGCACCCGGGGCCTGGTGGGCTGTGGCAGCATTCCAGGCACTGACCTCTCCATCATTTACACTTCAGCTCCATCCCAGAAGCAGAGGCCTGGGCTGGAGCCGTGCTGGGGGCTGATGAGGTGTTTTGGGAAGCGTGGAGGGCCGGGAATGTCTCGGATCCTCCCCTGGACCGTGCAGTCACTCACGTAGGAGCAGGGCTGAGCTCGCTGCCAGAGCTGCAGCAGCGGCTCCCAAGGGCTGCCCTTGCTGGCAGGAATTTGCCTGGGAGCATTTTATCCATGTGAGTTCCAGGTGCTGGGACAGAATTGGCTCTAAAGCCTGAAAATGTTCGGGAAAGGCAGGAAAAATGGGAGGTGGAGGAGGGAAACGTGTGGAAGAATATGTGGGCTGATAAATGAGCAGCAGGTAAAGCCTGGCTAAGCAACCAGAGGTACAGAGGGCACAGCCACTTGATTACAGATTATTACTTATTTAGGCCAGAGGTGTTACATTTTAGCAGCTCTGGCCTAAATAAGGCAGTGCAGGAACTGCCAAACTCGAGAGTAGCAAAACTGTCTGGTCCCAAGAAATGAGGTGACTAAAACCAGAGGGTTTCTTTAGCAAATGCAAAGCACTGGTTTTAAATAAATGTTGGTGTATTTTGGAGCACTTGAGGGATGCTTGGTTTGTGGGGTTTCTCTGTAATTGCAGATATCAGTTCCCTGGTGGTTACCACAGTGTAGTTAAGTAAGTCTCTTAAAATCCTCTTTCTTCATAGTAAATATGAAGTGTCTGGAAGTTCCCTGGCCTTCAAAGAGAAGGATGGACAACTTCATTCATGGTAAGAAAGTGCCCTGCAGAACAGGAACCAGCACATGGCAACTTCTTCCTGCAGCTGTGGGTTTGTGCAGGTGCTGGGGCTCAAACATCTGATTCCAGCAGCCAGGTCTGGGTCAGCAACCTCATGTTGAGAGAAGCTGAGTAATACTAAGAAAACTGCTGGAAAAGTGCATTTCTGGTCCTGAGCATGAAGAGGTGGTTGATGAATGCTTTAAAATCACGTGGTGTTAAGATCTGGCTGAGTGCTGCTCTCCAGGCACAGGACAGGCCTGAGGACCACAACTAATGATCTTTAGCTTTACAACATAAAAGGACAGGATGCTAAAATTAGCTTGAATTTTGTCTCCACCTGGTATGGTTAATATGGAACTAAGTGTTTATTTTTAAGCAGCAACTACTCAGTTTGTAGTTATAAGATTAAGGGGTGTTTATCTTATTTTAAAGTTTGCATTTCTGTAAGTAAACTGAAATTGTTTGCCATTCCCAGTTGGCATCCAGTGTAGCCTACCAGCTTTGCTTTGGCCTGGGTGCCAGCTTTCCTGGTATTATTCCCACATGGTGAGTCTGGCTCTTTAATTCCACAAATCAGATCTTCACAGGTCCTGTTGGAGCATCACTGATCAGCAGAATTGTGGCTGTGCAATAATTTCATATCAAAAAGGAGAGAAACTGTAAATCCAGGTGTGATGATGGAACCAGCACCAGGCTGATGCAGTGACATTGTCACCTGCTGCTCCCCAGATTTACTGTGCCCTTGGTTCCTTCCCAACTGAGCACTTTTCCAAGTGCTCAAAGTTGCCACACTCAGGCACGTTGCTGGAAAGGTGTTTGGAGTGCCAGGCTGTGCCTTGCATGTTAAATAGTGCCTGCTTTTGTTTTATAGCTGCAGGACAAACAGGCCTTTTATTAGAAATGCTACTCTCCCCCAGGAAGTTTGGGTTCCTGCCTTGGCTGCTTTAACCTTTCTCTCCCCTCAGTTACCCAGAGAAACCAAGTGCTCAGTCCTGTTGCATTTATTTATCACTGCTCTCCTTTGGTAGCTCCCTTTTTCTTTGTGCTGTTCTGCCACAGCTCCCAGACCAGTTCCCACTGAGATCTTCCCTTTGAGTAAAAGCTCCTGGGATTTAAATCATCAAAATAAAGTGCTCATAAAGAAAGTTCTTCCAAAAAGCAACCAGGGTTAGATGTGGTGATGCTGGATCCTCCAGGCCAGTAGGAAAAACCTCAATTTCTGACTTTCTTATGTTGCTGTTTTTCTCAGAGGCAGAAGGGGAAATTGAGATGTGATATCTAAAGTGAGGAAATAAATACCACTTGTAGATATTTCCTGGCTGCAGATGAGGTGGATTTTAGAAGACAGCAGCTCTCACAGCCTCTTTTCACACCAGCCTGGACTCTTCGTGCCTGTAAAGTTAATTGGCTTATGTCAGTTTACAGTGATTAAGTGGTCAGGTTGTCCAGTTTCAGTGCCCCTTTGGAATTTTAAACTCTGCACTCATGAAACTCCAGCTCAGAGCAAAGAGCTAAGGTGCTTTGCAGTTAATCTCAGCAAATCCAGCAGGCAGAGTTGAAATTCATCCTAGCAGGGATTTAGCTGTAATCTCCTGGGACAATGACTGAGCAGACACCTCAGCTGGGGCTGGCTGGCAGGGCAGAATTGCCTTCCCCTTGTCAGGGCAAAGTTTGGGATAGGGAGCTGGGCTCGAGAGCTGCTGTCCACGTGTTATTCCAGATTTGAGCTCGCCAGGATTGAGAAATGCATCCTGTCATGACCCTGAGCTGGCCAAAATATTGATTAGTGCTTCAGATGAGGAGCTGAAATGTATTTTAGAAATAAACAGAGATAGCTTAGATATCCGTAAGAAGTGCCAAGATTTCTGAATTAATAAAAGTGTAACATGTACACTTACAGTACATATTCATGGTATAAATTGCAGAGTAACAAAATAAACAGCAGATGTGATGGGTAGAGGACAAACACAGGTTGCCAGGATCATGCAGGTATCCAGAAAAACATCACTTCTTGATTTTAAAATAAGTCTGTTTTGAGTGAAAATCAAGATAAAGCCTCACCAGGAGCACAAGTCCTGGGCTGGAGCACCAGCCCTCAGAGAGGATCTGGGTGTAGGAGATTCCAGCAGGACTGCCTGAGGTCATTGTGTAGGGAAGAAATTCCTCCCTGTGAGGGTGCTGACGCCCTGGCACAGGATTTCCATGGAAGTTGTGGCTGCTCCTGGATACCTGGAAGTGTCCAAGGCCAGGCTGGACAGGGCTTGGAGCCACCTGGGATAGTGGAAAGTGGTTTTTTTTGGTTCAGGTGCAGATTTCCAGGAACACCCAGGGCCAGGGGCTCTATCTCAGCAGGCTGGAGCCAGAAGTCCTGGAGCACTGAGGAAATCCTGCTGGAATCCCTCCCCTTTTCCCTGGTGCAGGGGCAGGACAGCAGAGATAAAATGCAGATTTGGGCGTGCTTTGAGGTGTGACCATTGAACAGAAAGTTTCACAATCCTGGTGGCTGGTGACTGCTTCCCTGGAAAGGAAAGTTCAACCCCTGCCAGTGGGACAAACGTGGAGATGGGGATTCATTCCCAGCCCTGCCACCCAACTTTTCAGCTGTTGTAGGAACAGAACAGTCTCTTCTTTCTGGAGTGATTCATATGTGAGTGCACTTGTGCTGTTGAGATGGTGCCAATTATCCTTTTTTGCCCTCTGGAATCTCTACAGCAACTTCCAAACTCGGATTTTAAATTAATTCTTAATAGAAACAAAGCGTTTTGCAGTGGGAGCTGCTCTCCTTGTATGACCAATATCCCACTGGCAGTATATTTATATTTTTGGGGCTCCATTTGTCCTGGCATTACCAAATGCCACTCCCAGCAGAGGCTGCCTGCACCAGAGTCATCTCGGCAGAAAGTGCCAGATTTTGGCCGCTGCTCAGGGGGGTTTTGCAGGGCTCTTGGCACCCTCTTATGGCCGATGTGCAGGGACTGCACCGGCACTGGAGCTTTCCTGAGGGAAGGATTTAAGGGAATGGGATTCTGCCTTAAAGGGGAGTCACAGATGAAACGTAAAGCAGTTTTACTCCATTTCTTGCCCAGGATTTCAGGCTGAGTGTCTTCTTGACTGAGCGCAGAAAAGGAGATGGAGATGCCTGTCACCAGCTGCTTGCTGTCAAAAATTCCTGCAAAGCTGGAAAAGGAAGCTTGCAGCTAAACACAGCCCCACAGAGGGGACACTGGCTTTATCTGCCCTCTGAATGGGGACAAAAACCTGGGAGAGGAATGGGGAGGAAAGGAGAAGAGCAGGAGAGGGCACCCTGGACCTTGGAGAAGCCTGACCCAAGGGTGTAGCAGGTTTTGGGAACAGGGAATTACTGTTCAGTTTGACCTTTCCGTGGTGAGTTGCCCCCACAATTATTTTTATTGCCTGAATGCCTACATATAAAATTGTGGCTTGGAGGAAAGCTGGGTTTGTGTCAGAGTGAGGAGCTGGGAGAGTCTGGCTCTAACCCTACCCCTGGTCCCAGACTCCAGGTGAAGAAGGCTCCATCTCCCAAAAAAAGGTGGCACAGCTCTCTCAGGGAGAGGGGATGGGTAGGGACCACGGAATCAAGGCAAGGGGCTCTGCAATGTTTAATGAATTTAAGCCCTCTCAGAACAGTCTTGTTTGTCTCTCTATCATTAAATTCAACAGTTAATTAATAGTTTTAACTCTTCTTGTGTGTGTGAAGTGCAGGACAGCAAAAGGAGACCTGGGCTAGGAAATATCCCTGTCTCTGCCAGGATGGCTGTTGAGAGAGGGAGAGTCCCTCAGCAGCCTCCACCTGCCATGGGGAATCAGAGCTCCAGCAAACAGGACCACAAGGAAAAGCTGTTAGGGCAAACACTGGGGCTGTTTGCTGTAGCAGAGGGCACTCAGAGCCTGATGCCAGAGGATTTTTAGTGAGGAGCTGCCAGGAAGAGGATTATGATCTCTTTGTTTGCTGTGCCAGTGAGGGAGACCAGCAGATTGTCCAAGCACTTCCAGCTGCAAGGCTAATTAAGCACTGGCAGGGCTTACCTGGTGAAAAAGATTCCAAGAACAAGATAGATCAACCTCCAGGAGGAGGCCTGGGTGTCCTTGGTCCAGCTGTGGGGAGGGAGCAGATGACCTGAGTGATTGTAAGTAACACACCCCAGCCAAGCCTCCCTGTGATCAAAGAACCTTTCCCCAGTCCCTGCCCCAGTGCAAAGGTGCTCAGCACCCTCCTTTGGTGACATTTTGCACCTCTGAATCCTCTGTGTGACCCCCAACTCCTGAGCAGTCCTGGTTCAGCAGTTACTGGTGACTGAGTTTGCCCCAAAGACAGGTTACAGGAAATCCCTGGGAGCCAGGGAGCACCCCAGGAGTGTGGCTGTCCTTGTCCCTGTGCCTTTCATGCATTATTTTATATCATTATTTTAGATTATTATTTAACTATTATTTTATATTCGTTTATATAATAATATAAAATTTATATTATTTTATTAATAATATATAGTACATACTTATTGTATAATAATTATATTATTCTTATATTTCATTTTATAGAATGTGCTTCACTTTATGTACATAAACATTGCATCAATGACCTTCCTCCCCTGCTTAATTTAATTTGATTCCTCTGTCTACTCCCCATGCACTGAATTACACACAAATTCCCACCCTCCACGGGCTTTTCCCTGTCAGTAAATCCAAGCACAACCTGTGTGCAGTGACAGGAGCTGCTGGGTGTCCTGTGCCCTCCTCCTGTCACTTAATGCCACGGCATTTCCCAGGGCAGCAAGAAGGGAAAGAGCTTGCTTAGGCCTTTTCCTGCCAGGTGTAATTTTGGGAGCTGGGCTTTGGGTTCTGTGCCACTAGAGGGAAACCTGGGCCTTTGCATGGGAAAAAAGAGAGCTGCAAGATGCTGGAATAGTGTGGCTGCATGAAACACAAACCAGTTTTGCTCTGTAGCCCAGGCAGCCTCACTGCTGGGGTAAAGGTGTGTTGGGTCACACAAATTATCCAAATCCATTTCAATGTGCTGATGGAAAAATCAGGATTGGGGACATGGGCAGTGGTGGCCTTGGCAGGGTCAGGGTTATCTGGATTATCTCAGAGGGCTCTTCCAAACTTTATGGTTCTGTGACCTTCTTTGGAAGAAAATATGTCAGTTATTGGAGCAATGACAGAATCAGCACCACAGGAAAGAGTCCCTGAGCACCTTCAGACATGTCACAATTCAGCTGTGTGTTCACATCTCCTTTTTCCTGCCTTTCACAGTGGGACAAACAGAGTCATTACCAAGTGTCTGTTCTTTAATTGCTCCAGTGATATCTATAAATTGTTTCCAGCAGCTCAGGCAGAGGACTGTGAGTGTTGTTAAAGAGGCTTGGAGGAAAGGCTGATTTTAGAATCATGGAATGGTTTGGGTGGGAGGGGACCCTAAAGCCCATCCTATTCCCCCTACACCTTCCATTATCCCAGGTTGCTCCAAGCCCTGTCCAACCTGCCCTTGGGCACTTCCAGGGATGGGGAGTCCACCACCTTCCCTTCCTTCATGTACCTTCCCCATGCTTGGGAAGATGAGGTTCACAGCAGTTTCTGGGATCTGAGCCTCTTCTGTTTGTGTTTATGCTGTCCCACAGTGAACAGTGTTACGGGATGCAGTTTTCCCAAGCATTTGATAGTTTTTTGTGGTTTTCATCTGGGTGAGACGTGCTGGGGGTGCTCAGCTGAGGCTCGTGAGGCTTTCCAGCCAAAGGCTGGCCAGCTGTTCCTGCTGGAAGTTCTCCCTGTGTTTCAGGGAGCTGTGGGAAGTCAGGTTGTCAGGGCAGGAGTCGCATGAGCGAACGGGAGGTAACAGATCTGTTCCCTTCCATTTTAAGAGTGACCTTTAACTCACCAGACTTTGCAGAATAGCTCCAGCAGGATCCTGCTGGAAGTTTGCCTCCAGAGCCCCAGCGTGCAGCCGGGCCTGGCCCTGCCCTGTGGATCTGGGAAAACGCATCTGAGCGGGGCTGGGCTGCTCCCACCCCCCTGCCCCAGGGAGATCCACACGGGTTGACACTGCTGGGCTCCATGGGATGGCTGGGAGCAGTGCCTGTGGCAACCAGGAGGTGACAGAGAAGACAGGAATCCTTTACAGTGAGGGGCAGCAGCGTGGAATTGTGCCTCCTCCCTGACATTGATCCCCCACCGCAAGTGCGAGGACGCGGCTTCGGTTACAGAAGGTGCAGGGAGCTATTTTTGGGTGCTCAGCAGCTCCCCCGAACTCCTGTCTCATAGGTGGGCCATTGCTGTGTCAAGGTTGGGGGTTAATTTTGCCATATTTGGCTTTTTAAATGCATCTGTGTGACAAAAGGCCATGGAAGACGCTCCTCTCCCTCTGGTGACGGTGCCAACAGCTCCCTACAGCGACCAGAAACCGGGAACCAGCGGCCTGAGGAGGAAGACCTTCTACTTTGAATCCAAGCTGAACTATTTGCAGAATTTTATCCAGAGTATATTTTTTTCCATAGACCTAAGGGATCGCCAAGGAGCCTCTCTGGTGGTTGGAGGTGATGGGAGGTACCTCAATAAGTCTGCAGTGGAACTGATTGTCCAAATGGCTGCTGCCAATGGGGTTGGTAAATGTTAAACGGCTGAATTCCTGTGGGGTGTGGCTGAGAAGTGCAGAAATCCAGCAGAAATTGGGCTCTGGGAGATTTAATTTTATTAAATCTAGCTTTATTCAACTGCTAATAGTGATGTTTTTAATGGAAGATCAGTTGGGGGTACAGAAATTACTGGTTTTTCACTCTAAGTGTTACAGTTGGGCAGAAAATAACACGTGGGGAAAGGAAAATGAAATTCTGCCTGGGGTTTGTGTGTTCCTGTTTTGTGCTTTGACCTGCCCCAAGCTGTTGGCACCTGTGGATTTTTCAGTCTTTCCATGAGAATATAACCCCCTGATACTGTTCAGAAATGAACTACCAGGGAGAGCCACCAGAGTGGCAAGGGAGAAGAAACAACCATGTTTTGCCTTTCTTGCCAGGTGTAAGTTGTGGCTGTGGGATAAATGCTTAGGGAGCCTTTGAAAATTGATATGAGAGTCAGCAAGTGAGTGACAGCCTTTATAGGGAGCTCAGTTGTGCTGGAATTCTGTGTTTTGGAAGCAGAGCAAGAGGCTTGTGTGTTTGTGGTAGATTGTGGTTCATGCAATGGGCTTTTGTCTTTGTTTCCTTCTGCTTTTTAAGAAGAAAAGGCTCTGCTGTCTGTCCTGGATCTCTCAGTGCAGAGCAAATTTTGTGCAAAGGGACCTGGATTTTAGGAGTTTGTTTGACAAAAAACCTGACTAGGACAGTGTAATCAATAGTGAATGGGAAAATAGGGTGAGAGAATTTTATTCATTTGTTTTTAAAATTGATCTATTTTCTATCTTGTGGGGGGAAAAATCTTCAGGCATTGCAGGTGAATGTCAGTGTATGGGCTGAGCAGAAGAGCTGGAAAATGTGCTCAGAGCCACGCTTGGAGTGCCTGACACCAGGACAGGTCTGCTGCTGAGGGGAGATCAGCCTCATCCTCACCAGCTCACACTTTGTTCTCCAGCTCTGGGCCCAGGTCTGCCTAAATGGGATTTAGGGGGTGGTTTGGGTATTTTCCATGGATTTTTCTCCTCAGCCTGGCTGGTTCCTGTCAGTGCTGTGCTCAGGGTGTGGGGTTGGTGGCTTGGGCTGCATCTCCTGCACAGAAAGGGCTGCAAGGGTGGGCTGGAGACACCCTGGAGCTGCAGCCACCAACTTCCATGGCCTGGAAAAGCTGTTCCCAGTGTTCCTGGGGGGAGGAGGGGCTGCAGGAGGTCCCTGTCTGCATCCTCATGGGGCTTTCAGTAAAACCAGGGTGGAATGATTGCCTGGATGGTTTTGAAGTGCTGGAACCCAAACTTGCTGCACAAAGTGGATCTGTTTTGAGAATTCCATGAAAGGTGTTTGTCATTGCAGCCTGAGGTTTTCCTCATAAGAAATCCCACAGACTCAAAAAAGGTCATGTGTAAATGGTTCAGCACATTGTTACACTGAGCAAACTTCCCCAGTGGTCACCACAAAGGATTCAGCATTGGATGGGTGGGGAATGGCAGCTGGAAACCTCTGGAAGCCAAGGAGGACCCAAATCACAGAGCAGCTCACATGGACACAAGTGTTTCTTCCTTTCCTTCCTTACTGTGGGGAAAAACTGCAACTCAGGTGTGCAGGGAGGGCAAGGACAGGGGATTTGATGTGTTCATCCAGCTCTCCTGCAGCTGCTGCCTGCTTTGGCAGGGAAAATTCCTTCTTTTCCCTTCCTCTGCAGCATTCCTGGGGCACTGATGCACAGGGGTGCTGCAGAACGTGACCCTCAGAGGGAATCTGGGGAGCAGGAGGGGAAGTTTTGGAGAGGAGCTTCCTGGAGATCCCGTGAGTTCTCAGGGAAACTGAAAGAGCAAGGTTTGGGGGCTGGAATAAAGCACAGGACAAGGGGTGTGTGAGAAGGGGGGAAAAGCAAACCCTGCTTCAAATGAAATGTGAGGTGCAATCAATGTGATCAGTGTGTGGGCACAGTCAGGCTCCAGTGTGAGCTGCTGGAGGCAGAGCCCTCACTCTGGGTCTGTAAAGTGCTTTTTCACATTTCTGCTGTTATTTGCTGGAGGTGCAGCCCTGCCAGCAGCTGGGCTGTGACAGCTGGACCATGCAATAACTGATGGGCAGCGAGGCTGGGGCTTAGCACCTGGCAGTGCCAGGGGACAGGAATCACAGCCATCCCGTGCCCTTGGCTCAGCACCCAGCACAGCTCAGGAATGCTCCTCTGGATTCCTGCTCCAGGCTGTGATTGAATGAAATCCCTCCTCTTTCCCCAGCCTGTTCTGGGTCTGACCCCTCGGCTGGTGCAGAGGGGTCTGGTGTGCTTTTAAATCCTCTCACCTCCTCTGGGGGCTGTGGGAAGGAGTGTGATCTTCCAGGGAATTCTCCACCTCCTGCTTTATTGCCTGGATTCTGAAGCTGCTGTATTGCTCAGCACATTGCTCTGGAGCCAATCTCAGAGATATCCCTGGATTTATGGGAAGGAGGTGTGCTGCCCGCTGCGAGGAAGAGTCTGCAGCTGCTCCCAGGATGTTCAAGTTTTGTGTTCTTTTGGCTTCTCTCTGCCCCATTGTGTGTTTTGAAGGCAATTTTTGAGAGCACAGCCAGAGGGAATGCTGGTTTTTGTGATGTTTAATGCCAGCCCTTCAGTGCAGCATTCATGGAGGAAAATGCTCCAGCAGAGTGGGGTCGGATGCACCGTGGGGAGCTTTGGCAGGAGCAGGACTGTGCTTTACCTGTTGGCAGAGTTTGGGGTTTGGCCTGGGTGGGAAATAGGAAAGGTAAGAAGACTTTCAGAAAGCTGTGACATGGAAAGGTAAGAACACTTTCAGAAAGCTGTGAAACTTAGAAGTAACTGAAAGTATAAAACTTACAACAGTACAGCAAGCAAGGACATGAAACAATAGTTTGAATTCGGCCTCAGAAACAGAAAGAGCAGAGAACTTAGAGGTAGCTGAAAGTAGAAAACTTACAACAGTACAGCAAGCAAGGACATGAAACAATAGTTTGAATTTTAGCCTTGGTTAAGATAGACCTTAAGACTGCAGAAAAATATGCCTAGCAAGATAGTAGAAGGTTTTAGGCTTAGTAATGGAGTATTGTGGATTGTTAATAGAAAGCATAAAAACAAGCATTGTGTGAAGCAGGTGTACATGTGCTTTTAGTGATTGGCTAGAACAATTGTCTGTAAGCTTTAGCAATATGCTGTTGGCTAGAAAGTTTTTTAAATGCTCTGTGCCAAAGAAATCTTTGGCTGCTGCTGGCAGGACGTGAGCTGTTGCCATCTTCCCATTGTCTCAACCGTGTAATGATGCTGGTGCCACAATAAAGCTCAAGGAAAGTGTCCCAGCAGCCCCATCCTGCCTGTGCAAACCTCCAGTGCTGTCAGTGCAACAGGCCAGGACTGGGCAATAAGTTACATAAACTCCATGCATTTGCAGAAGGCTGATTAATTGTCTTTATTATTAAACCCGTTGCTTTTTTCTACCCTATTTCACTACATATGGACTTGATTGTCCTTTAATTAAAACACCATCACCATTGGTTGATTAAGAAACCACCCTTTGGTAGACAAATCCCCGTCACACACATGATGTGACGCATCACACTCCACATGTTCACAGCAGCAGGTGCAGCAGGCTAAGACAAGAATTGCTTCTCATTCTTTGATCTCCTCACACCTTTCCCAGAAGGATGCTGTGTGTTTCTGTGGCCAGAGCTGCTGCCACCCCGGCAGGGCTGGGTTTGGGGTTTGCCCTCAGAGAGCTCTGCTGTGCTCCTCCCCCGCAGATCGGGCGCCTGGTGATCGGGCAGAACGGGATCCTGTCCACGCCGGCCGTGTCCTGCATCATCCGCAAGATCAAAGCCATCGGGGGCATCATCCTCACGGCCAGCCACAACCCCGGCGGGCCCGCCGGCGACTTCGGCATCAAGTTCAACATTGCCAACGGAGGTCAGGCTCCTCCTCTGCCTCTGCTTACTGCTGGCAGCACTGCTTGTTTCTTGTGCCCGCCCTGAGCCAGAGGTGGGGTAACTGAGAGGTGTTTAAAAACCTTTACTGTTTTCAGTTTCATGTGAAAGGTGAGACAACACAGATGTTAGAATTCACGTTAGCACAGTCAGAAGCCAGCTCTTCCTTAGTTACAATACATTACAAGCAGTTCTTGACCTATCCCAACTATTTCTTCACTACAATGCATTATAAGTGGTTCTTAGCCTATCCTAACTAATTCTTAATTACAATGCATTATAAGTGGTTCTTGGTCTATCCCAACTATTTCTTAATTACAATGCATTATAAATATTTCTTGGCCTATCCTAACTATTTCTTAATTACAATACATTATAAGTGGTTCGTGGCCGATCAGCTTTAGTCCCACCATGCTGTAAATGCCATAAAGCCAATCATCTAAAATTGTGGGTCCCACTACAATGCATCTTTAATAGTTTTGTTTCTCTAAAGTATCTAATCTTATTTGCAAGGCCAGCCTTTGAAGCTTGTTTCTAGTTTAATTTCTCTCTCTGCAATGTCTGTCCTATTCCATGGCATCTCTAAGTCAGCATTTCTTATCTCAAAGTTTGCATACAGATGGACACTGTGTGAGCTTTCTGCCAGGCTTTGAGAATTCCCTACAAATCCATCTCCCACACCACCCAAGAATCCACATTTCTGTTCACATCCCAGTGCCCTGAGCAGTGGTTTCCCTAATGGAGCAAGTGATGCTCTGCTCCCCTCATTCCCTGGTGTTCCTCTTCCCTTCCCAGCCCAGGTCTTTGCTCTGTTCCTCAGGTTCACTCCTCTTGCAGTTGGATTCTTTAACATCTTCCCCTTGCCCATTTCATTTTGCAGGTCCTGCTCCCGAAGCCATCACGGATAAAATTTTCCAAATCAGCAAGAAAATTGAGGAATATGCCATCTGCCCAGATCTTCAGGTGGACTTGGGCACCATTGGGAAGCAGCAGTTTGACCTGGAGAACAAATTTAAGCCATTTACAGGTAAACAAATGTCCTTCCTCTTGGCAAGGGTAAGGAATTGGGGTGTTTCTGTGGCCATTCTGACCTCTCCTTCTCATCTGTTGCATAATCCCCATGAGGACATTGCTCCTGGCATTTATTTATTTGTTGATTTTGATTGATATAATTTTCTGTCCTACAGAAGTGTCTACTTCAGTAGCAAAATCTTGATCCATCAAACTTCCCTAAAATCAAAGGCTGTTTTTTCTGCAAGGCAAACATGAACTTGAAAACAGAAAAATGCAGCTGCAGTGCATTTTCCTAATTAAAAATTGCAGAGTTTAATCTTTCAACTGACTTTTTTCCATGGTTTCACGTAGAAAAGTTGTCTCTGTGAGTGGGAAAACTGTTACATTTCACATGTGACTTTTCTCAGTCAGCAGTGAAATAGGAAAATTAATTTTAAAAAGACTTTTTAAAAACACTACAAGTATTTTTTTACCATCTCCTGGTGTTTGTAATTAACAAAGGTAAAAGATGATAAAAGTTGGTATTTCTCTCAGTCTCCATTTCTTTGTAGTGGGATTTTTCTGCTGTATTTTGTTTTTATGTTGGCTGCAAAGGTGCAACTTTTTGAACTATGAAGTTCACACTTTCCACTGACTTTGGTGGAAATTAAAGATCTGATTTTATATACAAATTTTTAAATTTAAGTGAAGTGGGATTGAGCCCTCTTGAAGGAAGTCCATAGAGCAGAGTTTGATTTTGTAGACCACTTGTGACCTGATTAGCAGTGAGAGCCTGTAATTAAATCCCTAATTTAGCCCCATTATTCCATCCCTGTTCTGATCCTCTGGGATGTTCAAGGGCTTTGTGCTGAGCCCTGGCCCTTCACTCTGGGGGCTCTCAGCACAGCAACAGAGCTTGGTTATCACAGTTCCAGGCTGTGAGGGTTGATCCCTGTCTCCTCCTCCTTTCCAGTGGAAATTGTGGACTCTGTGGAAGCCTATGCCAGCATGCTGAGGAATATCTTTGACTTCAGTGCCTTGAAGGAGCTGCTCTCAGGGAAGAACCAGCTCAAGATCCGCATCGATGCCATGCACGGGGGTAAAAAGGGCTGGGCTTGGGGCACTGTGGGGTCAGGGGTCCCTGGGGATTTGCCACCTACTTCAGACAGGAATTTATATTGCAAGTTTGGGGTTTGGTTTGTGGCACACTGGATTTTTCTTTTCGGGAGCAAACTTTTTATGTCTTTTGTTATTTTCTTTTGTCAAGTGTTGTGATTTGGGGGTTGGGATGAGCTGGTCTTTAAGGTCCCTTCCAACCCAAAGTATTCTAGGATTCTGTGAAATGTTTTATGCAATTCTGAAATGGTTTGGGCTGGGAGGGACCTTAAAGCTCATCCAGTTCCACCCCTGCCATGGGCAGGGACACCTCCCACTAGCCCCAAGGTTGCCCCAAGCCCTGTCCAGCCTGGCCTGGGACACCTACAGGGGTGGGGTGGATTTTGATGGGAGCTCCTAAACCAAAAAGCACCCCAAGTGACCCAAACTGAGCAGCCTGAGGTGGGTGGTGGTGCTGTGGCTGGTGCAGAGCTGCCTGGGGGCTGAGCCAACTCGTTCCCCTCTGTTTTGCTGGGACAGTTGTGGGCCCTTACGTGAAGAAGATCCTGTGTGAGGAGCTGGGAGCCCCAGCAAATTCAGCTGTGAACTGCACCCCCCTGGAGGACTTTGGGGGCCACCACCCTGACCCCAACCTGACCTACGCTGCTGACCTGGTGCAGACCATGAAGACAGGAGAGTACGACTTTGGAGCTGCCTTTGATGGAGATGGGGTAAAGGAGCTGCTCAGAATTCCCCTTTTCCCTCTAACCAGCTCTGGGGACTGAGGTGCACCTTTTCTCTCCCTCTCTCCTCTGTGTGAACCACTCACTGCAGTTTGCCACAACAGAAATAGCTGGATACTGTGCAAATAATCCCAAACTGTATTTAAATAACTTTAAACCTGTGAAAAGCAGCAGGAAGACAAACGCTATGGAGGTGCTGCCGTGCAACTTCTCCAAAGCTGTGTGTTGATTTCAGAAAATCTCTGGGAATGCTGGGTCTGTGGGCTGGGCAGGGAGCTGAGCTGTGCCTGTGCTGTCTCCCCCAGGACAGGAACATGATTTTGGGCAAGCACGGCTTCTTCGTCAACCCCTCCGACTCGGTGGCCGTCATCGCCGCCAACATCTTCAGCATCCCCTACTTCCAGCAGACCGGGGTGCGCGGCCTGGCCCGCAGCATGCCCACCAGCGGGGCCCTGGACAGGTAACAACCCCTCTGTGGGCAGGGAGCCCTGGCAGGGCACAGCCAGAGGGGCCCTGGACAGGTAACAGCCCCCTGTGGGCAGGGAGCCCTGGCAGGGCACAGCCAGAGGGGCCCTGGACAGGTAACAGCCCCCTGTGGGCAGGGAGCCCTGGCAGGGCACAGCCAGAGGGGCCCTGGACAGGTAACAGCCCCCTGTGGGCAGGGAGCCCTGGCAGGGCACAGCCAGAGGGGCCCTGGACAGGTAACAGCCCCCTGTGGGCAGGGAGCCCTGGCAGGGCACAGCCAGAGGGGCTCTGGACAGGTAACAAACCCCCTGTGGGCAGGCATAGGGCAGGGAGCTCTGCCAGGGCACAGTGTATCCCTTTCCTGGGGTTTCACCCTGACCTGTCCCGTGTGTTTGTGAGGTGAGGAGCGCAGCAGTGCCAGGGCAGCAGTGAGGTTTGATGGGTTAAACCCTGCCTGGGGACATGGCAGAGCTGGGCTGAGCTCTTGGCCCTTTCTTTTCCATACAGTTAAGCCCAAACAAATGACTCTGCCAACCTTTCTTTTCATTAAATTTGGTAGTGACTCTTTCTTGATGAAATGCTTTGAGATCTGCGACATAAAATTGCTTCGAAGAGCTGTGTGCTTGTATCTGTTCTGTAAATGCTCATCCCACCCACCTCCCAGATGTCACACTGAGATGAAATAGAGGGATTGTTCTAAAGCAGTGGCATTCCCTGCCTTCAGTGGCACCCAGGGGAGCTGCTGATCCCATTTCCCCTGGGAACACTGAGAGTCCAGGGATGTGACTTGACCTTCTTACCTTGGCAGGGTGGCCCAGGCCACAAAGATTGCTTTGTATGAGACTCCAACGGGCTGGAAGTTCTTTGGAAACTTGATGGATGCAAACAAACTGTCTCTCTGTGGAGAGGAAAGTTTTGGGACTGGTAAGTCAGCGTTCCCAATATCACCCATGATGGTGCTGTTCCTCCTCTTAATTATTTATTCTTTAGAGCTTGGGATTTATCTTTCACCTGCAGTTGTTAATATTTGTAAAATATTAAAATATAAAAAAGGCTTGGAGGAATTAGTGTGGAGATGAACACAGTGCTAAAGGTTTTGTGAGGGAGGAGCTCCTTCTCCTCCAGCTCTCCAGCAAGGCACGTGGAGATGGAGGTTTGGGGGCCTCTTTAGTAGCCTGGTCACTGAGTCTGTGGGGATTAAATGCAATGCTAAATGTATTTTTCAACTCTTGGTGGCCAGGAAAAGCTTCTCAATGTTTTCATTTCTGGAAAGAAATACGCTTTGGAGCACGGAGTTTTATTAGGGAAGGTTTCAGGTCACTATTAAATCTCTGAGCTTAATAGGGCCCTCATTTTCCTGTTCTGAAAACAAGGTATGATTTATAAACTTTAAATTAACACTTGCCTTTGAACAGTCTAAGTGAGTTACTGAGTTACTGAGAAACAAAGTGAGCATCACAAGGAGTTTACTGGGGGTGTGCAGGGAAGTGGATGGGAGCAGGATTTGCTCAGGACAGTCAGCATTCCCAGGAGGTTTCTGCATTCCCTGAGCTCTCCCTGGCATCTGCCCTGTGGTTTTGTGTCCTGCCAGGGAAATGGAACCTTCCCTGAATCAGCACCTGATTGCTGCACAAAGGCTGAGTTTTACCTGGTCTGAACTCTCCCTGAGATGTTGTTTTTCCTGTTCTCTAAGGATCTCTGGTGGGATATGCAGGGCACAAGGTCCTGAGGGAATTTCTCACTCAAACCTTGTGTATTTCTCTACCATCACCCCAGAAAAACCTTTTAGCTTGTGTATGGGTGCCTTAAACCCCCAAATACCTGGAGTGAAGTGCTTTGAATGAATGTGGAGCTGGGATGCACGGCTTGACAGGAAAGGATTACCCCAGCTTTCCTGGGGCTGAGGAAATGGGATCACAGCTCTGGGGGAGCAGGGTGCTGTGGGGCTGAGGAAATGGGATCACAGCTCTGGGGGAGCAGGGTGCTGTGGGGCTGAGGAAATGGGATCACAGCTCTGGGGGAGCAGGGTGCTGTGGGGCTGAGGAAATGGGATCACAGCTCTGGGGGAGCAGGGTGCTGTGGGGCTGAGGAAATGGGATCACAGCTCTGGGGGAGCAGGGTGCTGTGGGGCTGAGCAGCCTCCAGGAGCAATATTTTTGCAGTCAGATATGACTCTGATATGTGGGACTGGGATTTGGCTGTGGGTTAGAAGAAAAGGTGAATTTTAGAGAACCTGGTATCCCTGTAAGGAAATCTTGAAGTAAATAATGAGTAAGGAAAGATTCTGGAGTTCTGCCCTGAGTGATTTCAGCATGTGCTGAGTTTATATCCTGGACCTTGGCTAATGAGGGGGCACTGGTGCTTCAGGAGATAAAACCAAATTCCTGGAGCTGCTGATGGGAGATGATCTCAAATGAGCAGCTCCCCAAAACTGTTTCCACCTTTGTATGAGCAACAAGCTCAGTTTCTCTCCATCCCTAAGGGACTGCCTCCCAAATCAAAGTGATTCCAGTATGAGAGGTTTGAGATTTTGGCCAGGCAGCAGCACATCCAAGTGCTGGGAGCTGAAGCAGTTTGGGGGAACAGATTGGGAAAGGGCCCAGGAGAGTTGGAGTCCCCCAAAATGCAAAGGGGTTTGCCCATGTGGCAAATGCACTTAGGAAGGAAAAAGGAATGAAAAGGGATGAGGAGGGTGGGTTGATAGGAAGTTAATGAGGAGTTGTTTGGAGCTGGACAGAATGGGAGTGTTGAAAGGGAGAGAGGTGAGAGAGCAGCCCAAAGACCCAGTAAAAATTGAAACAAACTGTGAGACAGTGGGACTGGAGTGCAGCAGCAATTAGAGTAATGTGACGTGACAGAATTCCTGCTTGCTTCCCTGGGTATTTTATTCCAGCAATAACTGATACCTCACATGGGACTGGTGTTTATTTAGCATTCCTCTCCATCACCCCTGCCCAGCTCTCTCCACCCTGAGGGACTGTGGGGATAATTTATGGCCACATCCACAGCAGTGGGATTTGTGCAAAGCACCACGTAACCCCTGGCCTGCCCCCAGCCCTTTCCCAGAGGATTCCCACTGGCACTCCTTCAGAGGGTGCCATGGCAGCTCTGGAGTGCTCCTGGCATTTCTTTAATACCTGTTTGGAGGTTTTCCAGAGTGGGAAGGGGGAAACTTTGCATCTGTGGGGCACAGGGTGGAACTGGCTCACCAGAGGCACTGAGTGTGGCTGGGTGTGCTCTGGGCCATCTGATCCCATTTAATTTGGGGGTTCTGTAAGGTCCAGCACCTCTCAGGTTTCCCAAAGGATCAGTGCTGTGTGATCCCACTCTGCTTCCAGGGCAAGGCTGGCTCCCACTGCGTCCTGCTCTTCTTGCAGTGCCAGCTTTGGGGGAATCCACAACAAGAGGCAATGGGCACAAGCTGAAGCCCAGGAAATTCCACCTGAACACAAGGAAAAACTTCTTTACTGTGTGGGACAGATTGCCCAGAGAGGTGTGGAGTCTCCTTCACTGGAGATATCAAAAATCTGGGTGCAATCCTGGGCTCAGGGATGGCCCTGCTTGAGCAGGGAGGTTGGACCAGATACCCCCCAGGTCCCTTCCAACCTTATCCACTCTGTGAATCCTCCTTTAGCCAAGAGAGGAGCTTTTCCAGCCCCCAGTGAGAGCAGGCTGGAGGCTCTCCTGGTCTCTGCAGGTGGAGGAGCCTGCAGAGCCTCTCCTCCAGCTGCTGCCAGTCCCACGGCAGGTGCTCCCTGCCTTGCTGCTCCTCTCATTGTTCTGGGGTGATTTTGGGGTTGTTAGGGTTTGGTTCCTCAGGAGGGCTGACATTCCTCTTGGTGCTGGGCCAGGAGATGATCCCAAGGTGCTCCTTGGCAGACAGGACACAACAGCTGCTGAGGAGTTGATGTTCTCCTTGTTGGTGCTCTCCTTCCCAAACTGCTCCTTTGCATTTGCCTTTTGTTTTTTATTTGATGCCTTTTTTACTGTGCATTCCCCGTTACTTCCTTGGGAACAGAGTTAAGGATGTGTGAACAATGAGTGTGTGTGTGTGTGTGTTAAAAGATGCTGTCCGTTTTATTTGGGCCGGAGCTGGAGCAGGTGAGACCCTGACCCATTTTAATGGCACAGCAGGGATGGAGCTCTGGAAATGCTTCCCATTTGTGAGCTGTGCAGGGGGATGGGGAGAGGAGACGAGGAGTGGGAATTGTGTCTGTGCTGTGGCTGCCCACAGGCTCTGACCACATCCGAGAGAAGGACGGGCTGTGGGCAGTGCTGGCCTGGCTCTCCATCCTGGCCGCCCGCAAGCAGAGCGTGGAGGACATCATGAAGGACCACTGGCAGAAGTATGGCAGGAACTTCTTCACCAGGTGGGGAAAGTGCTCCTGACACCTCCCATTCCCTGTCCTGCGGCAGAGCAGAGCCCTGGTGGCACTGCTGTGTCACCATCAGCTGTTCCTGTGTCATTCCACTCCCCAGACACTTGGCAGCATTCCCACGTGCCATGAAATGGGGATTCACCATAACCCTTCATGGCATCCAGCTTTGGGCTGTTACTCCAGATGTAAACCTGGTACCAAAGCCTGGACCTTTTATAAGTGCAAAGCACCGTTTTTTTTCTTTTAATTAAGTTTTTTTCCTTCAAGCGTAATTTTTGCCATGGGGTCAATATTCTTGAGGCCCCACATCACAAATTAATTTGTGATATCTTCAGTGACAGCAGCATCTCACAGAATGGATGCCCAGCCCCACGGCTGTTATTTACCTGGTTGAGTTCCTGTCCAGTCCCCAAATAATCAAATTTAAGCTGCAGTAGACATGGAAGATGGCAAGGGAAGGAATGAGAACCAGTCTGCACACAAGCAGAGGTGGGAACACTGTGAAAGCATTAGGCAGAAATCTTTCAGCTTGGAAGATCTACATGAAAATTCCATCTCAAACTGCCAAGTGAAAGAACTTGCCTTTCCTTTGGTTTTTTTCTTTCTTTCCCTCCCCAAAAAGCCAGCACACATCTGAGGCATGGAAACCTGGGGGAAAATGCCAAAGTCTAGGATGAAAAGGCAGCCTTTTAGCACTGGAGGTATGTGTGCAGAGCAGGCTGAGCACAGGGGTCGGCGGCTCAGAGCGGCACAAATCCCGCTGGCAGCAGGAACACTGACTCTGGGATCCTGGAGTGGGCTCCAGCCCCTCTGCTGCCTCTCCTACCTGGGCAGGGACGTCAAAGCTGGCATTGGATGTTTTCCTGCTGCAGTCACAGCTGCAGTGTGCTGGGGGGAGGCACTGAGGGTGTTCACAGTAACCACGAGGAAGCTGGTGGGGTGCTGTGGGCACAACTGCAGGAAATTCTTGGCAGTCAGTTGGATCTTGGCCCTGGCCCTCTGTCTGTGAGACAGCACTTTGTGCTTTCATCTCCTGGCACTGGGCAGGGACGTCAAAGCTGGCATTGGATGTTTTCCTGCTGCAGTCACAGCTGCAGTGTGCTGGGGGGAGGCACTGAGGGTGTTCACAGTAACCACGAGGAAGCTGGTGGGGTGCTGTGGGCACAACTGCAGGAAATTCTTGGCAGTCAGTTGGATCTTGGCCCTGGCCCTCTGTCTGTGAGACAGCACTTTGTGCTTTCATCTCCTGGCACCAAATGCCTGTGATATGCTGTGCTGTATCCCAGGGATCTGTGGGGGTGTGGTGTAGTGCTGCACACGGATCCTCCTCTCTTTTCATAGACTCCCACACTGGGCTGGATTGGGAGGGACCTTAAAGCCCATCCAGTCCCACCCCCTGCCATGGCCAGGAACCCCTTCCACTGTCCCAGGTTGCTCCAAGCCCAGTCCAACCTGGCCTTGGACACTGCCAGACATCCAGGGACAGCTTCTCTGGTGCTTTGATGTACCATTTCTGCCTGTCCTCCCCTCCAGGATGGGAGCAGAGAACACCACAGAGCTCCAGAAGGGCTCCCCAAACCATCCCAACTCATTGCACCCTCCCTCCCTAACCCCTGTGTGTGGTGCTGGCTGCAGGTACGACTATGAGGAGGTGGATGCAGATGCTGCCAACAAAATGATGAAGGATTTGGAGACGCTGATGTTCGACCGCTCCTTCGTGGGGAAGCAGCTGTCGAGCGGGGACAAAGTCTACACGGTGGAGAAAGCCGACAACTTCGAGTACAACGACCCCGTGGATGGCAGCGTGTCCAGGAACCAGGTGGGCACAGCCTGGCCCGGGCTGCACTGGGACTGTTTAATCCATGTCCTGCTTCCATCTGGAGCACTGGGTTGGGAATGCTGTGCCTGGCAGGCAGTGCTTGGTTCTTGTTTCAGGTTCTGCAGTGTGGGTGAGGATGGGCATCAATCCCTCTGGGAGTGGGGAGAGGGGAACACAGGGGCCTTCTGTGGCTCCCTGAAGAGGAGGGATGGTCAGGCACCGCCACGCTGGGTGATGCTTGTGCAGGCTGACCTAGAACAGAGATTAGACATAATTAAAAATAAAGCAGGGATTTATTAAAAGGATAAACATGTAAAACCCCTTGGCTACCCGTGAGCCCAGAGCTGAGAGCTTCCCTCCCTGCCGTGTCCCGAGCAGGGCCTGCGGCTCATCTTCTCCGACGGCTCCCGCATCATCTTCCGGCTGAGCGGCACCGGCAGCGCCGGGGCCACCGTGCGCCTCTACATCGACAGCTACGAGAAGGATGCTCAGAAGATCAACCAAGACCCACAGGTGGGTGCTGCACCTCGCTCCTGCCACGGCTGGCAGCCTGAGCTCAGCCCTTTCTCAGCCCTGCTTTGCTTGGAGATGTGTGGAGGTGACAGGAATTTCGGGAGCCGGAGGTTTGTACCTTTCATGCCAGTATAAATAAGATTATTAAAGAAAAGCTCAGTGTGGAGTAAGTATTCTGGGAATCCCTCACAGCTGTCTTCCTCTCTGTGTTATCCCTGTGCTTGCTTTAAAAAAAAAAAAAGTGGATCACAGGATCAGCTGTACCTAAGGTGAGACTGCCCTGTTCTGCACTGAGTTCAGTAAATGTTCTGCAACATCATTTACAAATGCTGCTGAGCTCTTGTAGGCACTGGAGGAAAACAATCCTCCTCTGGTATTTAGGTTGAGCCTGGATATCAGGAAAGGGTTTTTCACCTAGAAGATGGTTGGACACTGAAGAGGCTCCCCAGGGAATGGGCACAGCCCCAAGGCTGCCAGAGCTCCAGGAGTTTGGACAACGCTCCCAGGACAGGGTGGGATTGCTGGGGTGTCTGTGCAGGGCCAGCAGCTGGACTCCATGATCCTTGGGGATCCTTCCAGCTCAGGATATTCTCTGATTGAGTATTCCCCAGTGAACACTCTGTGGGCTCTTTGTGCCTAACTTACTGTGCCATAATTAACAAAGAGACTGAAAATCCCCAATTCTGAGGGTGGGGGGGAACTTAGGATTTACCTGTCCTGTGCTGACGTGGAATTTGGGATACAGCACAGGGAGGAGGGTGGCAGCAGCGCCACTGGAGCTTGGGATTTTCTCTGGGCACTGCATCCCTGTCCCTGGCCCCAGAGCTGGGGTTGTGAGCCCAAAGCAGCCTTTGGTCAGGAGAGCTGAGCTTTGGGTGTCCCAGCCTGACCCGGGTGCTCAGGGAAGTGTTGTGGGAAGGCTGCACGTGCAGCTCTGCAGTTCTGAGCCTCTCTTTCCTCCCTGCAGGTGATGCTGGCACCTCTCATTTCCATTGCACTGAAACTTTCCCAGCTCCACGAAAGGACCGGCCGCTCCGGGCCCACCGTCATCACCTGAGGCAGCCTGCGCTGCAGTGAGCACGGGGCAGGCAGCCCTGCCCCTCCCCTGGCAAATGGTCACTAAAAGAGGAGTATTGATTTATCCCTGTATTTAAGAACACTGTTTTGCTGCTAAGGATAGCCAATAAACCCCAGCCCTCAGCACGCCTTGTCCCCTTTGCTGCCTCTCTTTGTCCCCAGGAGGTTGGGTGTGGTGCTCCTTACACAACTTTTGGGGCAGCACGTGGACTCCTGGCTTTTCCTTAAACAAAAGGCTCTAGAAATAACAGAGACACTAAATTCTTCAGTAATTCACAGGCTTTTTTTACTGTCTTGGAAACTTTCCTGGGAAAGAAGCACAAATACTTTATCCCAGTTTGGATGAGCATGTTTGGTTGAAGGGGGACAGTAAGAGCCTTGGAATAATCAGATTTGCAGGCATTAATGTGCAATATCTTATCCAAGGGCACACAGAGGGTCACTTTGAAGATAGCTGTAGCTGGTTTGATGTTAGGGCTGTGCAGCTGCACCTTCCTGCCCTTTTCCTGGAAATACATTAGTGGGATGGGTTTAGGTCCTGTCCCCTCTTGGCTTGCTTGTCTTTGTCACCCAAATCCTGCAATCCCTGTGTCCCATCTCACCTTCTGCCCAGGGCTGAAGCTTAGGCTGGGTCCCTGGGCAGGCCTGGGGGAGCAGCTCTATTGCCCAGGAATGTGGAACATCCCACCCTCATCCCAACCTGCCAGCACCACTTCCAAGGGAGTCTGGATGTGCTGACAAAAGGCTTTTTATCTCACCTGTGCACAGGTGAGGGGTCTCTGCTGCTCCATCTGCACTGACAGTTCTGCTGGGGGAGCTGCTCTGCTGTGGGGGGGATTAAATCCCACAAAAACCAGATGCAAATAAGTCTGAAAGCCAAAGTAAGACCCAGGAAGAGCCTGAGGCTGGGAGAGCTGTGTTTTCCACCCTGTGCTGCCCAGTGCTTCCCTTGGCAGCATTGATCCAGAGGTTTCCCTCACAGCTGGCTGCAGAGCACTAAAGCAGGAAGCTGGGATTAGTGAGGGAAAACCAATTTGGCTGCTCTAATTTGCCTTTCAAGCATTGTGTGACAAGTGACCCCGGAGTTTATGGTTGGCCTCTTGTTAAAGCAGGTCAGTCCCGGGTTCCTCCTAATGGGACTGTGAGGGTTTTTCAGTCAAACTGTGCTCAAAGCTGCTCTCTGCCCATCCTGGTGCTGGCTGGTGCTAACAGCTCGCTGGTGACACCCTGCTCTCCTCTCCTGGGGCTCCCAGCTTCTTTCAGCACCTTCAGAATGAGAGGCAAAGTCTCCTGTGCTCTCATGGCTTTATCTGGGCTCAGTTCCTCCAGCTGCTCCTTCCACCACACCTACAGGAGCTGCAAAGCAGAGCCCAAAGTGACAATTTGTGCCTGTGCAGCCCTTGCCTCTCTGGCTGATGGGATTTGGAGCTTTGTGCCATGGGGAAATGTCCCTGCAACTCCCTGCCAGGATGCTGGAGCCAGCTGGGGATCAGGCTTCTCTCTGATACCAGCCACTTGGCAAGAGGAAGCTGCACCACAGGTTGGAGATTTGGGGAAATTTCTTCCCCAGAAGGGCTGTCCAGCCCTGGCACAGCTGCCCAGGGGAGTCCCCATCCCTGGAGGGGTTTCAAAGCCACGTGGATGTGGTACTTGGGGACGTGGTGTAGTGGTGGGATTTGCAGTGCTGGGGAACAGTCAGACTCTGAGAGGGCTTTTCCAGCCTAAATGATTGTGTGGTTCTGTGGCTGCTGGCCAGAGAGCCCTTTGGGGAGGCCTGGGTGGATTTCCCTGCTGCCTCACTGGGCAGGATGAGCTCTTGGCAGCTGCCCCAGTGCCAGCACACCCCTGAGTGCCCAGCACATGCAGGGAAAGTGGCTGTGGGTCAGGATAGCTGGTGCAGCTCCACCTATGGGACACTCCTGAGGTTCAGTTAGTCCTGATTTTCTCAGGAAATCCACTTTCAGCCCTGGGCTGGGTCCTGGTGGAGCCCTTCCAGGTCAGGGGCAGAGCAGGAACGGGGGAGCACGGTCAGTCTGTGCAGCATTGACAGGCTGCCTTTGCCAAAGCCGTGGCCACAGAGGGGTTTGCAGAGTCTCAGCCCCTCTGCAGATGGAGATTTGCATGAAAAATGACTCCTGCTCTTTCTCTGCCTCTCTCCAGGCCAGAGCTCAGGACTCCTGTCCCAGAGGAGCCCAATGGGATCCAGATGTCTCAGCTGTAACCTTTACGTAAGGCAGGATCTCATTTCTGGGCGCAGCCTGCACTGCACAGAGATGGAAACACATCCCAAGAGCTTCCTGGGAAGAGCAGCCACAGCCCAGCCCAGAGCAGAGCTCAGCCCAGCCCCAAACTGAGCTCAGGAATTCCTTGTCCCAGCCTGGCTGCTCGAGCAGAGGTGCCATGGCCAGGACCTGGCAGGAACTGGTGTCCAGGGTGGTCCCCCGGTGTCCAGGGTGACTCCCAGCACAAGAGGGATGGTTGAACCCCTGTTCTTAAGGCACAAAAGCTCTGCAATCCTGGTTTTCTGGAGGATTTTCCACTCTGGAGATGGAGTGTCTCTCTCTAGATGGCAGCATTGGTAAAGAGTCTCTGGGCCACCTCCAGACGAGGCAGGATCTTGCCACACCTCACTCTGTTGTGACTTCATCAGTAATCCTGGGATTCAGTCCCAATTCCTGTGTTCCTGAAGCCTTGGGGAGTGCACAGGCTGCCCTAAGGATGGGCTCCCATGCAGAAATATTGGCACAAACCACAGGTCTGAGATCACCCAAAATAGTTCAGGAAAACACTGCAAGTGCTGTTATTGATGGGGTAATTCCATGTGATAAATCCAAAATCTGATCCCCAGATCTTCAGCACGTAGAGTTTTGGGCACAATTTCCAGGTACTGCTGAAAGTAATGTGTTATTTGTCATGTTCCCATCACAGTGCTGACAGCTGTGCCCAGGCCCAGGTAGAGAAAACAGATGAACTAAAATAATTATTAAATGAAATCCAATCCCATTTGTTCCCTCAGTTTTCAGACACGGACCAGGGATGTGGGACCAGAAGAGCTTGTCTCATCCCTTGCCTCAGTATCCCCTCACATTCCCAGCTGCAGGAAGATCTGGGAAGATCCCAGAAATGCTGAACTGGGACCAGAAAAAAGCAGGGCCAGGCTGGGGCCAAAGAGTGCAGGTGAAGGACCAGGTCAGGGAGGAGTGGTGAGAATGGCACAGGATCAGGATGTGGTGCTGGGGCGGAGGTGGGAGCAGTGGGGTGGAATACATGCACAGTAGAAGGGATAAAAGAGAGAAGGATTTGGTTTTGCTGCCTTTGTTTTCACAGGCTGTGATTATGAGCCAGAATCCACAGGGATAAGAGCCCTGTTCCCCATTTTGGGAAGAGGCTTCCCAGGTCAGTGCTGCTCCCAGCACCCACCTGCAGCTCAGCTCTGTGAACTCTCCTCTGGGCCCAACGCTCAGCTCCACACACACAGCTTGACTGCAGGGAACAAATGAAGTTTTAATTGGGATGAGGAATCCTGGTGAGGAGCAGCAGCCCAGGTCTGAAATGCATCCAGGCTCCTCGGGTGAGAGCAGCCAAGGCCGCAGCTGCTGGGATGGCTCTGAGAGATGATGGGGAGCAGATGCTCCCAGGGCTGCTCTCAGAGAGCTGGGGGGGTCACCTGGAGAGGAGAGGGATCCAGGGAGAGCTCAGAGCCCCTGGCAGGGCCTGGAGGGGCTCCAGGAGAGCTGCAGAGGGACTGGGGACAAGGATGGAGGGACAGGACACAGGGAATGGCTGCCAGAGGGCAGCCATGGGTGGGAGATTGGGCAGGAATTGTTCCCTGGCAGGGTGGGCAGGCCCTGGCACAGGTGCCCAGAGCAGCTGTGGCTGCCCCTGGATCCCTGGCAGTGCCCGAGCCAGGCTGGACAGGACTTGGAGCAGCCTGGGACAGTGGGAGGTGTCCCTGCCCATGGAACTGGATGAGCTTTAAGGTCCTTTTTATCGCAGCAAAGCAAAGGCTGGTGAAAAATCCTGCCTGTGGCACAGTTAATTTGCCATAATTTTGACCTTTTTAGAAGCAGCCAGGATTGAACACTGGGGGAGTTTGGCTGCACTTCATGGCTGTATTTGATATCCTGACATGGCTTAGAAAGGCTTTGGATGAACTCAGATCGATTCAGCTCCCTCCCCTGCTCTGTGAAAGCCACCTGGAAGGACCTTCCATGCCCTGCTCCCTCCAGGTGCCTGTTTGGCTGCCCAGGGTGACTGTCAGATACAGCTCCTGATGTTGGGGAATCCTCACAGTCCCTCCTGGCATCCAGAGCACAAAGGAAGGGAAAAGGTGAGTTTTGGAAGGAATAAAAGGCCAAGCAAGCCTTGTGAGCCTGTGTTTACCCAGCACTCCTGGGAGAGGGGGGAGCTGCAGGGAAGCAGAGCATTGAGGAAGTTTGTGTTGTGCTTCTGTGTTCTGTTCCTGGCACAGAAGTGCCAGTCCTGTGTGCCCCTCAGTGCCATGAGCCTCCCGTGGCAGGGCTGGGACACCCTCAGGAGCCACCAGCTCCAGCAGGGAGCACTGGGATGGCTGTTCCTGCAGCAGCACAGCTTTGCCTTCTCCTCCAGGGTTACCTGCCTGCAAAGAGGGTAAGGAAGCAGAGACAGACACTACAAATCCATCCTACAGCCCCAAGATAAAAGTGTTGTAATGCTCTGTAATTGCAGACAGCCTCAAAGAAGACGCTTTATGAGGGCATTAATCAGCTGCTCAGCTCCTACAAAAGGAAATAATGGGATTTTTAAACAGTGCTGGGGTTTAATGTGACTCAGCAGCAGTTTAGAGGTGTTCCTCCCTTTGCAAAAAGTTCCAGCTGTTTGAGAGTTTGACCACTTGGATGACAGAGGAAAAAATACATAAATATGGATTTAAATGACGGTCCTGCCTAGTTTGATACCTACAACTTTCAGGGTGAAGCACAGCCTTTTCCAAAGCAAAATGACAGCCTCAGTAATGTGCAGATGAGGCTGGAGAAGTTGATTAGTATGTAGGTGTAATTTAAATAGCTCACTGGGACTTTATTGGAATGCTAAAATGCATTTGGCCCAGTTCAGTGCCCTTTCCAGGAGTACCTGAACTCCCCCCACTT